ATAATAAAATAAAAATAAATAAAACACTATTTATTGACCAAAAGAAAATTAAAAGAACACAACTTACAATTATTAATGAAATAAAAATAACTAGTTACTATGTCCTCTTTATGTGCGTCTCCTCTTTTGTTAATGAAGGGTAGGCAACGCATCTGCAATTGCAGATGTTTATGGACAACGATCGCTTTCCGTTTTGGTAGATTCAGGTGGCCGCTTGCTTGTTTGTCACCTTATATTGCCACAACATGCCACACCTTTCAGTCTAGAAGTCATCTGCTCAATCGATTTATATAATCTCTTTATTCAAATCGATTGAGCAGATGACATCAGGCATTAAGAAAATGTGATGTTTTCATTCCTTTTCAAAGATTTGAGCAATGACACATTTGATAACCTTAAGAAGTACGTGTTAAAAGTAATCTCTGTTCAAGTGGAAGGATGTCCGAATAGCAAAGATATCGACATACGAGTATACGTCAATAAGATACAAAGCGCCAATAGCATATAGGTGAAGACTACAGGCATCCTATCGAGATGATCGAGTATTCCAATCCTGACATTAGATGTCCTTGTACAAGCCTGGAGCTAGATTAAGATATTTCCACAAATGACTACCTTTAATATATAGACGGACGGCCATATTAACAATACTTGTAAATTACTTTAAAACACACAAACTGAACTCCAATGCGACAACACAAATACCCCCCCCCCACTATTCCTTCCGTTTCCTAACATTTTCCTAACAATATTGTTGTTTTAAATAAAGATAAATGTATTGATAAATAGCACAGATTAACAAATAACTTTTAAGAATACAGAATACATCAAATATTAAAAATAGTTAAAAAGCTAACACTAGCTACCACTAACTTTTATTTAAAAAAATCTTCTTGATATGCAAAGAACATCAGGTGCCTTGATATTCGTACCTACAAAAGGACGTGTAAAATATCATTAACACTTCCTTTTGCGATGCTGATGCCGTGCTACAAGGAAAAGGATAATAGCTCGCCTTGACACAGTCTCCGCGGCTCCTAGACACGTCGCCTGAGCCGGCGCATCCTGTAATGCTTAACACGCTATTTATATCAGTTAAATATTTTACTACTTACCTACTAGGTTTAAAAAGTTAAGTAGTCGTTTGAAAGATTTGTAAAATAATTTTTAATTATTTGTTATTTTTGAATACACATGAAGACGTTTCAAATTGTTCCGTCGGACAAAATTATACATATTTCTTTATTGTTTCGACAATACCAACACTAGATGGCGTAGCAAAGCGTAGATTTAAATTATTAGTTAAATAAGAAGCGATTTTCACTGCTATATTATAATAGTATCTGTCTGTTTTTAGATGTATGGTTCCGCAATGCGAGACGTGGCCGGCGCAGGTGACACCCGGCGCGTGGGGCGCGTGGGCGCTGACTGAAGATAGGTGTAGCCGCATGCAGCCCCTGACAGACACCTGCACCGCGACCAGTTTTCACCCAACCAAAACGGAGCGCTGCGACAGATTCGTCTACGAACATAACAACACCATCGTTGCTGAGGTCATTCAGAATTGTCCTGTTGATACCTTTACGTGATACATGCTTGGTCTGTTTGAGCCGTAAGGGCACTTCGAGCTACTGCAGATGTTCGAGCTACAAATGTTTTACTCAGCTAGTCTTCGACCATTGGATTTACGTTATAAAAAACCCAGAGATTGCGAGACAAACGGCTACTAAAAGGTGTCAATTGATGTCGACGTTATGTTTTGACTTTATTATATTTTATTTAACTTTTGAACAAACAATAAAATATCTAAAAGATATTATATATGTATTTACATTTTGTTTACTTTTAGTTTAATCTGGGATGCCAGGAGTGGAAGCGCACTCTCGTGGGAACCATCCACAGCGCCGGCATATTCGTCGCGCTACCCCTCACCGCTTACGTGTCCGATACGTGAGTATGTTAAGTTGATGCGATATGCAAACGCCTGGACAATTTGTAATAGCAGTGTTTTAAAAATGTGTTAAGTGTCTTTGCTGATATAATTACGAAGGAGATTTTTCTCATTAGGTAAAGGGTACGAAAATAATTTCAGGTTCGGTCGGCGCGTGGCGTTTATAATGACGGCGGTGTGTCCCGGAATGGTGGGGCTGGCCCGCTCCTTCACACAGGACTACATCTCCTATCTCTGTTTGGAGTTCCTGGATGCGGTAGTCGGCGCTGGAGTCTACTCTTCCGGCTTTGTGCTTGGTAACAATAACTATTATTCAATTCGGTAAAGTTTTTTGTAGTAAGAAATAAAATTAAGAAATAGAAATAAGAAATACAATACAAATGTAATTGTAATACAATTTGAAGCATAATAATTGTTTACCCCTAATCTCAAATCCAGTACCTTTGAGTAGATTTAAATGTAAATTCTGTTCTTTTCTAGCTCTCGAAATGGTTGGAATAAATAAACGAGTCCTTTGTGGTAACATAATATCGAGCACGTTCGCCATTGGCCAGGCGCTCATCGCGCTCATAGCCTGGGGAGTGCCATATTGGCGGACGTTGACAAGGATTATGTACGCACCCTCTCCATTTTTCATAATTTACTATTTCCTCATCGAGGAGAGTGTCCGATGGTTGCTTTCCAATGGAAAGAAGAAGAGGGCGGCCAAAATCATCTTTAAAGCGGCCAAGGTCAACAAAAAGAAACTATCTCCTGAGACGATGAGGCTGCTAACTGAAGATACGCCGGTGGAAATTAAACAGCATTATCCAGTTAAACCCAATGCGGAAAAAACCGATCCAGAAAAGCCGTCAGTAGTAAATTCAAAAACAGAAAAACCGTCAGCAGTAAATTCAAATACAGAAAAGCCGTCTGCAGTGAAATCAGATACAGAAAAGCCGTCTGCGTCAAAGTCAGAAACAGAAGAGCCGTCTGCGTCAAAGTCAGAAACAGAAAAGCCGTCTGAGTCAAAGTCAGAAACAGAAAAGCCGTCTGCGTCAAAGTCAGATACAGAAAAGCCTTCTGAATCAAAGTCAGAAACAGAAAAGCCGTCTGCGTCAAAGTCAGAAACAGAAAAGCCGTCTGATTCAAAGTCAGATACAGAAAAGCCGTCTGCATCAAAGTCAGATACAGAAAAGCCGTCTGCGACAAAATCCGATACAGAAAAGCCGTCTGCCTCAAAGTCTGAAACAGAAAAACCGTCTGCAGTGAAATCAGATTCAGAAAAGCCGTCAGCGTCAAAGTCAGATACAGAAAAGCCATCTGCGACAAAGTCCGATACAGAAAAGCCATCTGCAGTGAAATCAGATACAGAAAAGCCGTCTTCGGTGAAGTCAGATACAGAAAAGAAGTCTCCAGCAAATTCAGATCCAGAAAAGATGTCTGGAGATAAAAAGCATCGCAAGTCAGTAGTATTGGCGGTGATAAGATCTAGAGTGTTAATGTCCCGCCTGTGTATCTGTGCTTTCTGGTGGGTGACGGTCACCTTCATCTACTATGGCCTATCCATCAACTCGGTGTCGCTCGCCGGAAACAGCTACGTCAACTATATCTTGACCTCTCTCATCGAGATCCCCGGTTACGCCCTAAGTGTGGTCACATTGGATAGATTCGGTAGAAAGAAGTCTATCATAACCGCCTACTTTGTTTGTGGAATATCACTCTTAGCCCTGCCTTTTATTCCGAGCAGTAAGTGAATTTTTATGTTTTCGTAAGTTACAGTTTGCTCCATTTTATTGGTATTTAGAAAGCCATAACGTAACAGACTACTTATTTTATGCAAAATCATCTATGCTCGTATATAACTCATCCTTCTCACTGTATATTTATTATATTATGTCAATTATTAGTTATGTATCACTTGTTAGCACAATTCTGTACCTTATGTGCCTTTGAGTGTGTTATTTACTTAGTAACAATCTGTAGGGCTTCCCTAAATTCAGAATAAAACGGTGAGTGTCTGAAATTGTAGGATACTTTATATCGAGTGATGTATTTGCAGCGATGGTGTGGCTACAGACATCGTTGAACCTGTTCGGCAAGCTGTGTATCAGCATGGTGTTCAGTAGCATCTACGTGTACACAGGCGAATTGTACCCGACGGGGCTGCGACACCGCATGCTGGCCGCATGCTCCATGACCGGCCGTATCGGACAGATGATCGCGCCGCAGACACCGCTACTGGTAATATTTGCAATTCTGCCGCATTACTATCGTACTTTTGATTATATTTCAAGTTAGTCCTAATTATACTTTTATACCAAGCGATATATGCAGAATTTCGTAGAAGTAAGAATTTATTATTGTTTTTATGATTTATTATGCAATTTTAGTCATAGTACAGCTGCATTATACTTTGATTATTGTTAAGTAATGCTATAATTAGGCTTCACTGGCCGATGCTGGTTTTTTAAAAGTGAAGGGGTAAACCTGCAGCAGCTACCTTAAGATACTTACGTGAATATTTGTAGCAACCAAACCAATAATGCGAAGGGTATGAACATTGCTCTGAATTTTTTGGTAGGCAACATTTCATCTCTGTTAAAGGTTATGTTTTTAAATTACTTATAGATGGCGTACATGGAATCACTGCCGTACATCCTGTTCGGTCTGATGGCTGGTACTTCGGGGCTACTGATGCTGCTCACTCCGGAGACTCTGCGCGTTGAGTTGCCTGACACCATTGAGCAGGCTGAGAACATAGCATCAGTGAAGCAGCGCGTCGTGGTTATAGAATGATGAACGTACCCTTGTTGTTACATAGTATTAAGTCTTCATCGTCAACTGGAACGTGCCCACCGAGAGACTCGAGCCAACTCTAAATATTTTTACGTGATCAACGCAGTCCAGTATTCACAAAACTAACCTATGAGTGGCATAATTGAAGGATCAAAAGTGTAATTGGTTTGGGAATACCATACGCGGCAGATATTTTTAGGCAGTTACGGAAGGCTTGTGTACGTAAGCAAGCAGGAATTAAGTAAGCAGTAGTTTGAAGTCTACTTTGTTGAATGATGGCGATACTGAGGCAAAGGAATTGATTGTACAAATGTACTTAGTTATTTAAGTTTACGTATATAGGATAATTATTATAAAATATTGTATTAGTACAATGCTTATAAAGTACACTTTTGTTATCAGAACAAATTTGTTTTACAATGCAATTATAAGTTTATTTCTGAAATACCAGTTTGTCTGTGATAGACTACGTTAATGTCAATTTCTTATATACTATTAAATAGTAATAAGAACTCCATAAAAATCAAATACTACATGTGAATTGAAGTTGGATATATCATATTTATTGTCGCAAATTAGAATCTTAATAGCAAACAAACCTAATGCGCAGGATATTAACATTGCTCTAAATTTTCTGACAGGGAAATTTTTAACTGTTTAAAGTTTTAGGAAAATCACAATTACTGTGTTAATGTACATAATACCAAGCTTATTTATTAATTACTGTAAATGTAAATAAATGCTTTTTAATATGTTTTTTTTATTACTTTAACGTCGGCTGAATAGAATGTTACGGTGAGTTTCAACTATAACACATTTATGAGACAATTACAGTCGTCTCTATCTTTTCAATACCATTGAATGAGACAGAAATAACCATAATGGAGGCTGGCCGTTATTATGTGAACACGTGTATTGAATACACGTGTTTGTCGACATTTATATCATCGCGTAATTTAATTTAATCTTTTTATTGCTACGTTAAATATGTACTAATCTTAAATCATACACAATACATTTTATCGTTTTAAATAAATAATTTAAAATTACGATTTTATGTATAGTCTCTTGGGTTCTTTTTTGTCACTTGTTTTGGCAGCAGTCTTTTGTTTAAAAAATTCGCGTTTTTGTTTTCGCACTTTCTTTTGTTTATCCTCTTTTCTTATCTGCCACTGAACTCTTATCAGTATGTAGACAAACGCATAGTCAAGTACTAAAGATTGTTAAACCCTAATTGCGAGTAAATGTGCCCTTTGTTTTCTTACTATAAGTGTAGGCGCTTATCGTAATTCTACAGCCGAAAATGGTATTATAACGTAACTATCTCATTTTTTAAATACAAGATAAAGGACAACATGTTTCAATACAAGTATAATCAATGGAAATCCACGATAAATAACGTTTGCAACCTAATATTATAAAAAAACTCGTATAAACATCATTATTGAACATAACTTCGTAATAAAAGAATAGCTCAATATTCTTCCGAAATACGTCAAGGGTTTTTAATTATGTTTCTGGTCTTACGTTTTAACGACACAGTATGTTCGTGTTTTTTTTTTATTAAATGACCTTGATTCTGTCGTTAATATACAATCAGTTAAAGTCAATGTTATTTAGATAAGATACTAGTTATTGTAATATATTTACGATTCTAATCCAGGTTTTAGAGATTACGATTTCAGGTTTTTTTGGATAAGATAGCTGGTATTTCTAGTGTGTAAATCTTAGTTTTTTTTAATAACATAAGGTGGCAAACGAGCAAGCGGCCACCTGAATCAGCCAAAATAGCAAAGCGACCGTTGCCCATAGACATCCGCAATTGCAGATGCGTTGCCTACCCCTATCCGACGGGGGAGGAGACGCACATAAAGAGAATACTTTCCCTTCCTATGCATCTCTTCCGCCGTCAAATCCACTTCCTCTTCCCATCCTCTCCTTATAAGAAGGGGGTGGTAAAGGGAAATTGACTTAAATTAGGCCTCCGGCACAACACTCATCAGACGAAACACGGAATTGCTTCCATTTCACGCCTGTCTTCTGTGTGGTCGTGGTATTACACCGGGCGTGCCGGCCCATTCGTGCTAAGATGGTAAAGCGGGCACTACCACTGTAAAAGTGTCTTGATCCAGTATCGTGCATTGCACTATAAATAATGTTGGTATGTAGCAAAAAGTACTTCATTTATGGTCATCGTAGAGTTATAATTAATGAAAAATAACCCTTTAACACTAAAAATACACAAAACAAAGACTACAACTAATACATTATTACAACTAACTGAAACGTCTCGTAAAACATTTCATATCTTTCAATCACAAAGTTAGTTAACGCAAAACAATCTTAACCGTCCTTTAAAGTTTTTTAAAGCATACACAACATATTTTTAATAATATCTTGCTAATATTATAAACTAGCTTTCGCCCGCGACTCTGTCCGCGTGGTAATAAAAAAAACAAAACCAAGTACTCTATATGTTCTTCCAAACTATCCTCTACATCTGACAAATTTCATTGATATCCGTTCAGCTGTATAGGCTACAAACTCTAACAAACATCCATCTATCCATCTAAATTTTTACATTTATAATATTAGTGTGGAGTATGATGTGAAAGTTTAAATGGATGGATGGATGTTTGTTTGAGTTTATAGCCTAAACTGCTGAACCGATCTCGATGAAATTTGGTACAGATGTAGAGGATAGTCTGGAAGAACACATAGGCAGCTTACTTTTGTTTTTTAATTCCATGAAATATAAAAAGAAATCGGTGTAATGCGCACATCTCCATATAAATGTTCATACCAATAAAGCGTCCGAACAAAAACTATTAGCCGATAAAAATTCGATAGTGTCAGGGCTCTAAATCTTTGTTTCTATCCTTGATCCGGAATTTAAAATACTTATCAACATTTACTTATCTAATAACCTTATAAAATTTATGATTGATAAAATTTACGTTTTATCGAAGTTTTATCATGTGCGAAGGATTTGTATGTAAAAATGATCGAAATGTGACCTTATAGTATCATATATGTCTAATATATCTGCGTAATGCTTTATTGTTAATTTCTATGTCGATAATATATTGCCATTGTAGTTAACAAATTGCAATAGTCATTAGGTGGCTCATATTAACACGGCTCGTCGACTAGTAAAGTCCTCGGCCAATAGTTATAACAGATAATAATGGCTGATAATATAAATAGAAATATAGTAGAACCTCCTCCTAGGAAGGAAAGTGTTGCAGATAGAAGGAAAAGCGTAGTCGGGAAACCATTGGAGTTAGACGATGTGTTAGTTAACGAATTGGGACAATTCGGCTTCTTTCAATTGAGGAATATTCTGCTCGTCGCTTTGCCAATCATCGCCTCGGCTTTTATGAGCGAATACATATTCTCAGCGGCTGCGATCCCACATAGGTAAGCTATGAAAAAAGTTTTTTGTGCCGAATATTTAGTATTTTGTTCTCTTAATTATAGCTAATGGAAAATTTCTACAATTAGTAACAGACAGTGTTTGTAACATGTTTTACATTTTACTTTATAGATGTCAAATACCAGAATGCGGTGAAACCGGAAAAGACTTTAACTATGATCCACATTGGGTCCTGAACGCGGTACCAGCAACCAGCTCGGGATTTTCTAGCTGTGAGAGGTTCACTCCCACAGGACTAGAAAACGGAAGCTTGCTCTCCTGCCCCGCTACTCTCTTCGATCGGCCGAACACCGTCGCCTGTGATGGCTTTGTTTACGCCAGAGATAATTCTGTTGTTTATGATGTAAGTGCATAATTAAATAAAATTTTCATGTATTCTGTGGTCACGTCAAACTTCTTTAAAATTAATGTTGTCCGATATAGACAAGAAATAAATTTAGAAGTCGGTTAACTATGAAAATTGCTCTCAAATAAGAATGTTTAACCACCAATCATCGGAAGAAATACAAAAAAATGAACCGAACTTCTGCACCCATCTACAGAGTTCTAAGTTTATTGTATACCCATTGTTTAAGTAGGTAATTAACCATTCCAGTTCGATCTTGGTTGTCAAGAATGGCTGCGAGCTCTGGCGGGTACGCTGAGCAGTGTGGGTACTCTCCTAGTCTTGCCCATCACCGGCTACATCTCCGACAAGTATGGACGGCGCATGGCACTCATCATCAGCGTCTTCAACCTTGCACTCTTCGGCCTCATCCGCGCCTTCTCCGTCAACTACACCATGTACCTCGTACTACAACTAATGCAGACGACCTTCGGAGCTGGAACTTTTAGCTCTGCTTATATCTTTGGTAAGTTCGCAAGTTAATTTAGAAGATATTGTTGATACATGCATATTTAATTACCGAGATTGCAGTATCCTTAACCGAATTTTATGTTTGTTTTCAGCGGCGGAGCTTGTGGGTCCCAAGTATCGTGTAATCACAAGTGCAACCTCGTCCTCCATGTTCGCGGTGGGGCAAGTGGTGCTGGGCGGTGTGGCGTGGGTAGTGCAACCCTGGCGGTACATGATAATGGCCCTCCACATCCCTTGCTTCCTCATCATCGTCTACTATTGGATCCTCTCGGAGAGCGTGCGCTGGCTACTCTCAAAGCGCAAGTACGTGGAGGCTCGCGCCGTGCTCGAGAATGTTGCCAGGGTCAACAAGACTTATATCAGTGAAAAGTCCATGGAAGCCTTGATGAACCCTCCTGAAGTCACACATAAGGTTTGTTGAAATATAACTTATAATTAAATTTTAGAAAGACTTGTGAGATTTTATCTACTAGAATAGACACTTACTAAAGAATTGGGAAACATAGAAAAAAGAGAAGGTACAGAAAAATATAGTACTATATTGTGTCATAATCCTGATGGCCATACTCAATTAGGATGTTGATTTTAGGTTGAATCAAATATAGTGCAAACAATCTTCAAATCAAGAGTACTGTTACGTCGAGTATGCACAACTCCTATCTGGTGGATTACCACAACCTTCGTCTACTACGGCTTGTCTATCAATTCGACTAGTCTTTCGGACACCATGTATCTCAACTTTATTCTGACCTGCGCTATCGAGATCCCCGGCTACGCCACTGCTGTCCTTATCCTTGACAGGATCGGCAGGAAGGCTACACTTTCTGGCGGCTTCTTCTTAAGTGCGGCCTGTAACATCGCTTTTGCTTTTATACCATCAGGTAAGTTCATAAACATTTAATTCCTAAAAGAAAATAGGTTATTTGTGTTTTTAGTGTTATTAAAAATAATGCGTATTAAATATTTTAGATATCGTATCACAATTAGCATACTTATAAGTTGAAGATAAAAGATATGATGCATGTTATCCGCTAATTTTGTAGGTAGTCATAAGGTGATACGATTTAAGATAACGTGGAAAACATCAAATGGTTTTACGTTGTTTGGGATCTATGTTATGATGATAAACAATGCTAGTATCTATAGATTTTATTGTCACAGAACATCCCAGGCCATAGTGTTTTACGCAAATACGTAGATACTATGAATAAGTTTGGGGTACAGACTACAGATGTTGCGGTCGAGGGTTCGAATCTCGCCATTCGACTACCGTCGTGAAAACAAGCCTAGAGCTTAGTTCGAATGCTTAGGAAATAATAGTAAATTAACGGAAAATTACTACTATTTTAATAAAAACCAAATGTTGTGACACATGGCAATATCGTTTCAGAACTCAATGTCGTTCGGTTGGTGATATACCTACTTGGTAAGTTCGGTATCTCAGTAGTGATGACGTCACTATACCTGTTCACTTCCGAGCTGTATCCGACTGAGTACCGGCACACTCTGCTCGCCTTCTCCTCCATGATCGGCAGGATTGGATCAATCAGCGCGCCGCTCACACCCGCACTGGTGAGTGTGACTTCAATTCTAGAAAAGAAAAGCATTTATTTAATAAAGGATTTTAAAGCAGTCCGCATCTGCAGCGGTGGATACTGAAGTGTTTGTGATGATATCTCAAGAGAATGTTGATATAATTAGAAATATCTTAACGATTTATGATTAATGGTTAAGTGAGAAGTCAATCATTATCCGTCCCTCAATATGTAGTCGAAATTTTTTTGTTTGATTCAGCGCGTTCTAGATAGCTCACTTTAGTATTTCTCGGGTAATTTCTTAGTACCATAAATCTATACTATGCTAAGTTTCTTAATTTCTCTATCAATTCTTATTTTCCAGATGGAGTATTGGAACGGCATACCGTCAGTGATGTTCGGAGCTATGGGTCTTCTGTCAGGTCTGCTGGTACTGACGCAGCCGGAAACCTTGGGCACCAAGATGCCTGACACCCTCGCTGAGGCGGAAGCTCTCGGCAAGCCTGAGTCCAAGTTACAAAACAATTAACCAATGGATCTGATTAGAAGATAGTTTTAAAGAAGTTATGGGAAAATGTTCAGAAATATTATGTACTTTTATTTGGTCTAAGATAGCAGAAGGAAACAAAAAATATTCTTACGAAATAGTATACATTTAAAAAGAGAGTAAATAAAAATATTTTTGTGTACTAATACTTCATTGCCCTTTCCTATTAGTTGCTTTTTCTATGACTACATTTTATTGTTCATAAACAATTGTTTTATATAAGTTAATCTTGTTTGTTATTTATGGCGCGTAATGTTTAGTTATTAATAAATTATTTTTCACAATACTTCTTTTATTTCTAATTGTAATTACGTTTTCTTCGTCGTGAAGAGCATCTCCGATCGTTATAGAAGTCGGAAATCGATTTAATTTGCATAGTTTTTCTATATATTTGATGAAATGGAACATTTGGGCGGACTCACACTTCCGCTAAACTCTGTTACTTCGGTAAAAAGTAAGCTTGACTTTTTTTAACGACCATTTCATGCTTCGTTGACTTTGTCCATCAAGACGACTTGGAATTATTCATGTTATAGCTATCTACGTGGCTGAGATATTGAAACTTGATGTATTGATGGTCTACAAAAATTCACGTTATAAATTTCCTCCATCGTTAGACACACTCTAAGTCCAGATTATGACCAGCATTCGCCTCTATGTCCATATCTCAAACCCTTCAAAACCGTATACAGTCCAAAACTCGCATTCGTAAAAAAAGAACAAGTCAGATGTAACGACGTTGTTGAGAAGACGGAAAGGTACTGTGACGTCAGCAACAAGAAACCTTTATTCATTTTGTCGAAAGTACTCATTACACGCAAGCAAAAAGGGTCTTGATATCTTGATCAATCTCCCAGATTTAATGGAGCCAGCCTACTTTATAATCTATTCTTTGTCTGTTTTAGTTATATCAGATGAAATGTTGAATTATTTCCACTTGTCGCCTGTCTTTTCCTCCATCACAACCATCCTGCAGCAGATAGCAGTGCTGAGCATTCTACTGATTAAAGATAATTAAGGTGGGTCTAGTAGATTTTAGATTAATTAATAACCAATAGACGTATCTCCTATTAATAATGTTAGTTACTAGCTTTCGCTCGCAACTCCGTTTGCGTGGATTTAGAAAAAGAAATAGTAGCTTATGTGTTCTTTCAGACTGTCCTCTTCATCTGTGTCAAATTTCGTCAACATCCGTTCTGCAGTTTAGGCTACAAACTCTAACATCCATCCATCTAAACTTTCTCATATATGATATTAGTAAGATATAGGACAGTTTATCAATCATTGCCCGCTGTACATCTCCGCTCGAATATGCCGGCTCGCTCTACCGAATACCACGACCAGACAAAAGACAAGCGTCAAGTGGAAGCTATTCCGCGTTTCGTCTGATGACAGTGTGCGATAATGTAGTCAAAGTGTGCTCCGGCACTTAGGATAGGTAACGCAACAGCATCGTTTGTCACCGTATACTAAAATATTTGTGATTTCTAGAAGTATTTAGATATACATACCAACAAGACATCTTCAAAGACCAAGCTGCTAAACGACACTAACTATCTCACCCTCCAGTGGCGCATGTTTTGCCTCATTGACAGCCTACATAATCTAATTGATGGATATGGAAGGTTTTTAGATTTTATCGTAAAACGTGAATAATACGTTACTAAAGTCATGTGTAATATTAAAATTGTTTAGGTGCTTATTGTTTTTAATATTAATAGATTAATTGTAAATTAGAATTATATTATTACTAGCTGTTGCCCGCGACTCCGTCCGCGTGGAATTAAAAAAAAAACAAAAGTGTAGCCTATATGTTCTTCCAGGCTATACTCTACATCTGTACCAAATTTCACTGAAATCCGTTCAGTCGTTTAGGCTACAAACTCTAACAAACATCCATCCATCCATCCATTTAAACTTTCACATTTATAATATTAGTTAGATTGTATAATAAATAGGTCTTTTTTGTAAAATGTTACCAGATTTAAGTTAATTTAGCAATATCTCTTGTACTATTCTAACAAAACACTAGGCTTGTGCTATATGGTTTACGTTAACTGTCGAATGGCGGGATTCGAACCCTCGACCACGTGATCAGAATTCCGTACTCTTAACCATTACCTTATTGGCGCTTCCTTTAGTACAATATATCGATAGATTCTTTTATAGTTAATAAACTAAAGTCGAGAAATACTGCTTTGTTATTAAGTATGTCCACAGTTCGATTTCTATTTTCAAAAATGAAATCGTGTAATATCTGAAATGACTGGAGCGATATTGTCGGGACTTTTTCTGTAAGGTTCTTTATGTATGGGGGATGCAGGAGTAGGCAATTATACTTTTTTTTTCTTTTAATCTGCACTTACGAAATCTCGGCATTGCACTCTCTTTTATGTTTCTGAAGCGAGGAAACATGTTTCATATACTTTTAAAACATGCTTTAAATAATATAAAAACTTCTTTCCTTTTTACAAATAGCATGAAACAAAATTTTCTTATTTCCTCCTACATGGATGTTTTTTTTTATTCATGTTAATCTGTTGATTCTAATCAAACAAGGCGATGGCAACAATCAAGAATAATGAAATTAAGCTGTTTATAGATAATTATTATCAGATTTGTTTAATTAAATTTAAAAATAATTTAGACACCCAATGCAGCTTTAGTAACTGTGAGTTAGTACACGTTTTTGAAGCATTAAAAATGTTAAAACCTGACAAAGATGCACCGACCCATATACCAGAAAAGCCAATTGATTTGGACAGCGTCCTTGTTAATGAATTGGGGCAATTTGGTAGATTTCAGCTCAAAAATATACTTCTCGTATCATTACCTATTCTTATGTCTGGATTTATGAGTGAATATATATTTTCGGCTGCTGCTATACCTCACAGGTAAGCCTTGCCTTTTAACAACTAATTGTAATATGTATTTATTTGCACTTGTAGCTTACTAAAAATATATTATTTTAGCAGTAAAGTCACTTGATATAATCTCAATTTCAATAAATCTTAATATAGAAGTAGACTACAAGTTGTTACAGGAAGAGGTAATCCCAGACGAATGGTGCGGTAGCGAGCTGGTACCCATTTATAAGAATAAGGGGGATGTGCAGGACTGTAACAACTATAGAGGAATAAAGCTCATGTCACACAGTATGAAAGCTTGGGAAAGAGTGGTAGATGCAAGAATCAGAGAAGAAAGTGAGGTATCTCGGAACCAATTCGGATTTACGCCAGGTCGGGGGACTAAGGACGCCATTTTTGCCATTCGCCAGCTGTGCGAAAAATTTAGGCGTGTGCATAAGAACCTGCACATGGTGTTCGTAGACCTCGAAAAGGCGTATGATAGGGTTCCGAGGGATGTTTTGTGGTGGGCTTTGAAAGTAAAAGGAGTGCCTGGGAAATACCTGCAGCTTATTCAGGCCATGTACTGGCGAGCCAGTACATATGTCCGGTCCGCTGCTGGCGATAGTGACAGGTTCGGTGTCTCGGTGGGTTTACACCAGGGGTCGGCTTTAAGCCCGTATCTGTTCCTCCTGGTAATGGATGCTTTGACATTAAACATACAGGAGGAGGCACCCTGGTGTATGCTTTATGCCGATGACATCGTGCTTGTCGGGGAGGATGAATGCGAGGTACAGAGCAGGTTGGAAGAATGGCGGGTTAAATTGGAGGGAGCTGGTCTTAAAATCAGCAGGACCAAAACTGAACATTTGTTTTGCGATTTTGGCGGTCCGACCAGCTTCTCTCCAATCGCCTTAAATGGTGTGCCTCTACCAACCTGCTCCGACTTTAAGTACCTCGGTTCTCTAGTCCAGTCCGACGGTGGCGTTGACCGAGACGTAAAAAGCCGAATAAATGCAGGTTGGATGAAATGGCGACAGGTTACTGGTGTGACTTGTGATCCAAGAATGCCTCTTAGGCTTAAGGGACAGATCTACAAGTCCATCATAAGACCTGTCGTATTGTATGGATCTGAATGCTGGGCCACCAAAGTTGCGGATGAAAGGAGATTGCATGTGGCTGAGATGCGTATGTTAAGATGGATGTGTGGTGTGACAAGATTGGATAAAGTTAAGAATGTGTACATTAGAGGAAGTTTGAAAGTAGCGCCAGTGGTGGAGAAATTGAGAAGCAAAAGGTTAGCGTGGTATGGACATATTATGCGACGAAATGATGGGGACATAAACCAGAAAGTGTTGAGATTGAATGTGGATGGCTACAAAGGAAGAGGAAGACCGAAGAAAGTATGGATGGATTGTGTGAAGGAAGATATGCTTAAGAAAGGAGTGGATTCAGATATGACGGCTGATAGAGATGTATGGAAGAGCAGCACATACTGTGCCGACCCTCCATAAGGGATAAGGGCAAGTGGATGATGATGATGATGATAGAAGTAGACTACAGTAATTAAATTTTTTGGTTTACATGAAAAATTATTATCGTTTCCAGATGTCAAATTACCGAATGCGGAGAGAATAGTAGCAATGTTGAGTTCGAACCCGAATGGATATCGAATGCGGTGCCCGAAACCAGTTCAGGGTGGTCGAGCTGCGAGCGGTTCGCCCCCACAGGGTTCAACGGCACTCTCGAATACTGCCCCAGTGAAGCGTTTAATAGAGATGTAGTCGTCGCTTGTGATAGCTTCGTCTACGAAAGGGATAACTCCGTTGTCTATGATGTAAGTACTTGAAACCAAGTCGCTATACCACTAATGAAGCCTCTGTTTATTTCTATAGTTTTCCTACGACGAGTCAAATTCAAACTGAATGTTTATGCCTCGTATGATGCGGGCATAATAAGAGTCCGGTAATTAGCTTCAGGTTGTTTAATTTGCAATGAATTACATTTTGGTTGAATTAACAATCACTTGATTAACCTGAGATTTGATGCGTGGCCGCGCAGAGTGACAGACAGACAGAGAGTGACAGTTAATGTCCAATAGGGATGTCTGAGTGACGCTGTTGCTAGTGATGTCCGTAATCGATCATTAGGGATCCAAATGTAGGTGACATAGGCACCAACACTGATTTCGGTGGTTCGGGGGTTAAGCACTTGAATTTTAATCTGCAGAACCTGGGTTCTAATTCAGAAATGTACCAACGTTTGTGTTTTAACACGACGTTATTTCGGTGAAAACATCGTGCAATGTACATACGAGTATATCTGTGAAGAAATACAATTATATATGTGAAGTTAATCCAACCCACTCTGTACCAGCGTGGTTGGCTAAAGTGTAAACCGCCCTAACCTAGCGTAGGCTCTGAGCCCCTCAGTGAAGATAGTTAGATCATGATGATGATTCATAATAAAGCAATGTGAATGTTGCAGGAAATTGACTGATGACTCCATCTTTTATTTCACTTATCCTTGTAGACAGTGTACTCTGTATTCTTAATCATTGGTAAACGTATTTTCTTTTTAATAATAAGGTTATCATCTTCAACGATTGCATCAATTACAGATAAGAAAAATTCCAACCTCCGGTTGTTTTAAAAACGAATATATAATCATGTTTGTTATATTTTTATTCTTATATTTCATTACTTTCCAATTATATACTTTTATTACTGACCTATATAAAAGAACTTAAAAATCCTACACTTTTTTATTTCATCCGTTTCATAAGGTGTACCTTTTCAGTTATTACGCAATGCTTTTTATTCTAATGTATTTATTTCGTGTTCAAGTTCGACTTAGGCTGCCAGGAGTGGATGCGCGCGTTGGCTGGGACTCTCAGCAGCGTTGGTACACTCCTCGTGCTGCCAATCACTGGGTACTTCTCCGATCGCTATGGCCGTCGCCTGGCGCTCGTCGTCAGCGTCTTCAACATGGCACTCTTCGGTCTCATTAGGGCCTTCTCTGTTAACTACGTCATGTATTTAGTGCTTCAGCTGTTGCAGACAACGTTAGGAGCTGGCACGTTCAGTTCTGCGTACATTTTTGGTTAGTGTTATCACATAGATGGTAACCATATCATTACAGAATATAAGTTACACTTAGGCTAATTTTGTAGGTGCTGAATTGGTCGGACCGAAGTATCGAGTACTTATCGGTGCATTCACAACGTCAATGTTCGCTGTTGGTCTGATGGTGATCGGTGCCGTATCTTGGGCGATACACTCCTGGCGGTATATGATCCTGGCTTTGCACGTGCCCTGCTTCCTTATCATCTCCTACTACTGGTTCTTGGGGGAGAGCGTGCGATGGCTGCTGTCCAAACAGAAGTACACAGAAGCAAGGGCTGCATTAGAAGAAGTGGCGAAAGTCAATAGAACAAATATTTGTGAAAAGTCGATGGAAGCATTATTGACTCCACCATCAGCTCAGGGAAGTCCTACTTCGGTAAGTGTTTTAACAGATTTTTCTAGGCAAAAGAATTTTTGATTTGCAAGAGGTATACAATATCATGCAGAACTAAATCTACGACGCAATCTATACCCTAATTTCATTTGTCCACAGGATGGCCCAGGGTTGATCGGGTACATTTTCAGCTCTCGTGTACTCTTGCGTCGCGTATGCACCACTCCTATCTGGTGGATCACCACCACTCTGGTCTACTATGGTCTCTCCATCAACTCGACCAGTTTGTCTGGCTCTATGTACCTCAACTTTATTCTGACCTGCGCCATCGAAATCCCCGGCAACTTTGCTGCAGTTCTTATCCTCGATAGGGTCGGAAGAAAACCTACTTTGTCGGTAGGATACTTCTTAAGTGCTGCATGTAACATCACTTTCGCCTTCCTTCCGAGTGGTAAGTAATTTGAAAACAATTATTACAAACGTTTTAAGTAATTTTTTTTATTTAAAGTAACTTTAATTTTTGTATTGTTATTAATAGTATGTTCTTTTTGTTCCTAGACCTTAGCGTTTTGCGGCTCGTAATATATCTTCTAGGCAAGTTCGGTATTTCTGTGGTGATGACATCACTCTACGTATATACATCAGAACTGTATCCAACCGAGTTCCGACACAGTCTACTGGCCTTCTCCTCCATGATTGGCAGGATAGGGTCTATTTGTGCACCACTAACACCCGCATTGGTAAGTAGCATAGACAACATCAAAAAAGCTTTAATAGTTGTAATTCTAGTGAGCAAAAAAGAAATGTTATGTTCTATATTTCGTTTGATGCATTTTTTTTCACGAAATCTCCTCATTATCTTAGATGGTGTACTGGGCGGGTATACCTTCAGTGATGTTCGGAGCAATGGGTCTACTAGCCGGTCTTCTGGTGCTGACGCAGCCGGAGACACTAGGCACCAAGTTGCCAGACACGCTAGCTGAGGCAGAGGCACTCGGGACACCGGAGTCCAAATTGCCTAAATAGTATAAGATATGGCTTATCGTTAAGTGATTAAACCAAAAACTATGAGACATTTTAACGAAATTAGTGCAACTGAAACAGGTATAAAAAAGACGATAAACTCAGTGAAAGTATTAGTATAGTTACAATTAAAATAACAGGATATTAAATTCCTTAGTAATGTTAGTTAAATGTAAATAAGTCTTTCTACAAACACAAGATGTATCTGGAAAAGTCGTTCTGAAATCTTGAAGTATTGTGAACTATTATAACTTTATTGTGTTAGTATTTAAGTAATGGAAAATAAATATTTATTTCTTATTTATTTAAAAGTGTTTTTTTTATTTATTCGAACAATTAAACTACTTCGTATACTAATTCAACCAACGACATTGCGATCTATCTCTTTATGGTTTCTATACTCAATTATTATTGTCATTCCTATTCATAACTAACTAGCAGTTGCCGTTGACTTTATCAGGACATAATTTAAAAAAACGTAGGCAAATTCAATCCTTTCCCTTCCATGTACAAATCCTTTCAAAATCCGTCCACATGTATTGGCGCTTACTCTGAACAAACGATGTATTCCGGGTTCCGGACGGACAGACAAATAATTTTAAAATCGGTTTATTGGTACATAGGATAAGACATCTACAAGACAATAGGAAATACATTTTTTATTACAAACAGACACTAAAACTTATTACATGTAGCATGACAAATGCTAATTTGTTGGGGGCCTGAGCTTCTTATCCTCGACGTCCCGCCAATCTTCTAATTAAGCGACACACCTGTGATTATCAAAACAGCATTGAAATTATAAATAATGACAATCAATTAAGATTACATAAACAGTAGACACGTAAAACATGTAATGCATGATAATCATGCGCACCTGATATTTAAATCTATTGTATATTTGTATAATTAGTACAATGTCAAAGATAACGAAGGATTTTATATCTTTATCAGCTGTCGCCCGCGACTCTGTCTGCGTAGTTTAAAAAAATACTAGACACAGTATTATTTATTCAAACTATGTTCTACATCTGTGCCAATTGTAAGAAACATCCATCAATCTAAATTTTCCGATTTAACATTAGGAAGTTTAAGGTCCTGTCCTACCAAATTGTAAATTGTCTGATCCAACGTGTAAAATATGTGATGGAAATATCGGATTTTGTTCCCTTATCTAACAATGACGTCATTTTAAAACTATCTGAGTCTCTATCAGCGAGTGGTGGGAGAGGCTCTTAATGGAATTTCAAAGTATAATACTTACCTTACGTAGTAATTATTTTTCATAGAATTCTGTGTTGTCACTTTCTTTTTCTTAAAGATTTTAGAACATAATAGAAAACACAATACGCAATATTCAAAATAAATACTTTATTTGGTACAAGCATTATCTTATTATACAAGTAATTAATTACACGAAGAAAATCAATGCCAGCCGTTTAATATAAATAACTATAAATAAAATTAAAATTATGAAAAATCATAATTATAATAAATTATGTGATAAAAACTTGTCTAGAAAACTTCAAGGTTAGAATTTTTACGTTTTCATAATAATGTTGATAAAAAAATTAGCACTGGCACTGATATCTAGATATTTCACATTTAAAATATAATTTTTTTAAATGCATAAATGTAAAGACAGAAAATTTACTATTACTGTAAATGTATCAATGAAAAATATCTACCAGAATGTTCACAATATGCTACCGACGAGTTTTGAGACACTTCGGCAGTAGACAGTAGACAACCTGACAATTTGGATAACCTAGTAGTGGTTGGAAAGATCAAGGGCAAAAGGTCACGGGGCCGTTCACCTACCCGATGGACCGATCAGGTTCAGTCCATACTGGGACTCAACATCCCAACTGCCCTGAGACGAGCAGAAGACAGGAGGCAGCTGGTCGATGACTCAGTAAAGGCTTACCAGGGCAAGCACGACCTTCAGCAATGAAGAAAGGAAGAAGAGAAATGTATCACATTCAGCTTTTCTAAGTAATTGCCTATTTATGTAATAATTTGATATCGCATTTAAAATTATTACACACTTGTATATAAAGTAAAATAAAATGTTTTACTAGAATAGATTAGTATATAAAAATTGTAACAGTGAGATTCTCTCTAGATCTTTCTTTTATAAAACTATCTTATAATAAAAATATGTTTACTCAAAAATTGAGTTTTAATTCTACACTGTACACTTACACTAAAAAAAATCACACTTATTGTCAATTTCACACTTTATGACGTCACATTCCACTTGTACAATTTGTTCATTTGCCACGCGGTAATATTGGCACAGTCTTGTTGCAAACGAGTGTAACATTAGAGCAAATAATGCAGTGTCGAGTCAACTGGAATGTACAGTCGTGGAAATCTGCGGTGTTCCTTCTTGAAAAATATTGTTTATTGAAACCGAGATAAACTCCGCATCCTAATATTTATTAGATAAATAATATAATAAATTGAACCATTCAATTGAAGTTAAGGGGAGGGAAAACCAGCGCGGCCTTCAGGGTGAAGCTGGAGGCCGCATCAGCTGAGCTTTCTCCTTTTGATCGAGAACTGTTTTTTGTTTTATTTTTATATGTTCTGTACCTGTTTTGACCAATAAATAATATTTTATTATAAAAGAGGGTGCAATTAAATAATAAAAAGAAACTGTGTAACACAGATTAAATTTTTCGTAAAGACGTAATTTTTTTGTTTCGCGTCTCGTTTCAAGCGATTGTAATATTATGAACACCGTCAGTTTTCCCGACTGTACTAACAAAAAAGTACTGTTCTTTCCTATCACTGTTAGGATGTCGTGACCCTCTCTAGTGTAGGGTCGGGCGACTCATCAAGTCTTTCAGCATCAGCGACCCGGTCGGGCAGCGGCGTCCTGCTCGTGTCTGGGAGGAAGAGGGCGAGCACAGCAGGGCCTAGTGCTACTAAAGCGAACACTACGCTAGGTAAACCAGACATATACTGGCCCTGGAACATGAAAACAATATTAATATGAGTTTAAAATCTATCCTATACAGTATTTTAACAGAAGAACCATAACATCTTCTGTAGAACCTGCTCGTATGCATGAGCACATAGAAGATAGGCGTCAAGTGGTAGTTATTCCGTGTGCAGTCTGATGAGTGTGCTTTTTGGCTTGATTTTTATTCCTTTTCTAAGGGAATGTGGATTTGAAGGTTAAGAAGTATACTCGTAGATAAGGGAAATGTCCTCTTTATATGCGTCTCTTCTTCCGTCAGCCTTAAGAGTAGGCAACGCCTCTTTAACTCTATCGGCAGCGATCCTTTCGTCTTGTAGGTTCTAATGGCCGCTCTTTCGTTTGCGTCCTCAATATATAAAAAAGTTTTGAACTTATTTTATTATTAAAACTGATGTTAAGTGATTTTTATGCATGGAATTTTCCAGTATTAGATAAAAAATACAATCAATCAAACGAAGGTTGATATGGCCCAGAAAGCGTAGTCTAAACTGTGTTATAATTCATTTATTTGTTAGGCTGCTAATGTACAGGATAATTAAATAGTGATTAGTAACGTCATCAACTTGTCCTTGTAGGTACGGAGGATCGGCACATGTGCTCCGACACCACACTAATCAGATTCTACGCGGAATTGCTTCCACTTCACGTCTTCTGTGTAGTCGTGGTATTTCACCAAGCGAAAATGTTAAAGCGGGCTCTACCACTGTTAAATACATGTTAGGGCAACGACGCTAAAATCAAAAAAGCATATCCTAGAGGCCTAATTTTGGTCCCTTTCCCTTTTCGAAATAGGAAAGGATGGAAAGAAAAAGTGAATTTGACGGTGGAGACGCATAGGAAGGGGAAAATCCTCTTTACGTGCGTCTCCTCTTCCGTCGCTTAAGGGTAGGCAATGCAACTGCAATTGCAGGTGTTTATGGGCAGCGGTCGCTTCGCCATTTCGGCGGATTCAGGTGGCCGCTTGCTCGTTTGCCACCTCGTAATATAAAAAAAAAAACATCTTTCACAATGTCCTCTATAACAATAGTAACGAGTTAGGATTACCAGTAGCGGCGCTTGCGGCGCCAGCACTGAGCCGAGGCGGCCCACCGTGTTGGCGACGTTGGTGAGGGAGTTGCGCGACGTGGTGGGGAACACCTCCATCGTCACCACCAGCATCGAGAACAGCCCGTAGCTGCTGCACATCTTGCCCGCCAGGTAGAACACCAGGGATGCCCACCACATCGCTGAACAAGTTAAAAAACATAACCTTTAAAAATATTACCCGTAAAATCCTATAGAAGAAAAATGTAACACGTTGAATGCGAAACCAGGTTTTAAACACCTGGTATGTATCAAGCTACAAGTGGAAATAGGAACTGTATACACTACACAGGGTGCGCTACACCTGGTACCGCAGAAATTGAAAGAATAGAAAAATCTCCGTCACTTTAAGTGTTAATCGAAGGAATTAGGGTAGCCATCAGTGCTTCAAGATATAAAACACATTACAATAAAAAGCAGGAATATACATAATTGAACAATTCATGATTTAAAACATTATATAACTAAATAATAGTTAAGAGAAGACCCTGTCTTCTGAAACACTGGTTTTACAGGACAGTCCCACTGATTTTGTAAAAATTAGTTTTACTCCAATAAGTAACTCTTATTTTTTATTGCTTTTTTCTTTCCTTTTTTCCTAATCTTTTGTGTCTATAATCTAGTTTATCTACATATATGATAACAAGACAATAATATTCTTACATTTAGGCACAAACGCAGAAGCCATGAAGAACGTAGCACAAAGACAGTAGGCGACACAGATCGGCGTTTTCCTGCCGAACCTGGTGAGGGTGAGCGCCGTGATGATGCGTGTGGGGATGGCCACCAGCATCATGGCAGAGAAGTTGAGGTACTTGTTGCCGGAGATGCTGGTGGAGTTGATGATGGCGCCGCTGAACACGAACATGCAGCAGAAGAAGCTGACGGAGATCAAGGCGATGCGGAGGACTATCTTCTTTGAGCGCAGCACAGAGAAGATGGGAGGTGGATCTTCAGAACGTGTTTGTACTATCTGAAATATTACGTGTAATTTGATAATAAAAATCTAGAAATTAATGAAATGGTTGCTAAAAAATTAACAAGATATTCTAATGGTTAGTTTCTAGTTACTGTCTGTGTGAAACCTGTATTTCTTACAATTGTAGTTATATTTCACAGTTAGGTAAATCTGAGAGAGAAAGTAAATCTTTTAAAGATTATTCAAATTATTATAATAATATAAATAATGATTTGCACAAACAACCTTGAGGAGATCGCAAATGATCCAAAACAAGCTTAATGTGAAAACATTCCAACAATGGTAAGTTTATATTTAATTGTTTCTTAAAACAGTTATAGTATGCAAAATCTACTGGCGATGATCGCACCAGGTGATAGATTATTTGTATTAGAAACTATTAGAAAATATCATAATATTTAGCATTTTGCGTCTTGGAAAATTGGAACGCGTGATTCAGTTCTTTACAAAGGTAATTGTTTGATCGAAAATATTTGGTTATCGGTTTTTTTCAGCACTTTATTTATAGAAATTTGGAAAACACTACCCTAGTTCTCTACTGCTAATTATACTTCAAAATATTTACAATTTTGCTCATGTTTTCGATACCTTTTCTCTTGAGAACTCACCAAAAATATATCTAACAAAATTACCTGATCAGCTTTACTTCTCTCTTCAGTTATTTTAGTCAGCATTGCTTTTGCTTTGTTCGATAATGTGATATTATTGATCTTAGCAACTTTGTTCAGTACTCGTACAGCTTCGTCCTTCTTGTTATGTGCGAGGAGCCACCGGACTCCCTCGTCTACTAGAAATATGTAGAAGACCACGACCAGCAGTGGAGCGTAAATAGCCCGCATCATGTGCCGCCAGTAGGGGATCTTCCAGGCTATCAAACCGAAAAATGCTCCCCCAAAGTTTGAGAGGATGTCAGCTATACAGGAGTATACTACTCTGCTCTTCTGACTGACTGTTTCAAGTGCTGAAAGTAATAATTGGTATCGCTTAGAATATTCTACTAGAGATGTTGCTTGTATATACTAGTACTAGTCTATACTTAGGGCCTGTCCCACCACTGGCTGATAGTCTCGGATAGCTTAAAAATGACGTCACTGTCATAAGAGAACAAAATCCTATATTTCCATCACATCTTTTACACATTGGATTGTTATCAGACAATTAACAATTTGGTGGGACAGGCTCCTAATATTATAAAGAGGAAAGATTTATATTTTTGTATGTATTGGAATAACTCTAAAATTACTGGGCTGATTTAAAAAAAAATACCATTAAAAAGCTATGTTATCTGAGTAATATAGGCTACGTTATGACTATTTTTTATTCCCCGCAGACGAAGTCACGAGCAACAGCTAGTGTTATCTAAAAGGGTTATTCTTGTCTATTCAGTTTATGCAATCTTTTGTTGTCATTTTTAAGTATAAAACGCAATGAGATCACGTGCAAATCGTAGCAGATATTAAGTTACTATTACGTGTAAATGCTACAAAGAGTTACAAAGTTGTGATATCAAATATCTAACTTACATAATACAAGAGATGCGTTCCCGTATCCTAGTGCCGTTTCTAGAAATTCAAGGATAAGGAGCATCCAGTAATTGACGGAGAAGGATTTGAGAAGTCCCGCTGCGCCCACCATTAGTGGAGTCACCACAATTATCACTTTACGACCGTACCTGGATATTTTACATTACAGATTATTCCCAACCGTCATCTCGCTCTGTCCCCACGTGAGAATAAGAAGCTTCATCCGTCCCACCTTTTAGTCCAACTATCACCAATAAGGTGACAGATGGAACCGTTATGAATTAAAATAAGATCCAACCATCCCCTCGTCGCAAATGGTGTGACAAATAAATCTTTGTTCTCATCTGTCACCACGAGGGGACAGAGTGGTGTGACGGTTGGGAATAATCCTATATTACGATATAGAAAAAAATACGTTATTGATATAATGTACAGGCAAGGCATTTCTCGATGTACCATTTAGACAACTTGCCTTGTTTATTAGAGACAAATTGCGCCAATTACAAATAAATAATTAGGAATCACTGAAATGCACAGACAATATGATAGTAAAAGAAATTAGCCGTGTGCTACGGATTATCATGTTTTCTTACACACATTTATACATGTTCTATTGGTCGCGTCATACAAAACTTTATATAACTGTTTAGAGTGTAACACCGCAAATTTCCCCGATAGTACATACCTGTCGGATATAACACCGGATACAATGAAAGAGAAGACAAGTCCTAAATTATGAACAGTTCCTATTAGTGTCCGCTTCCACGGCTGGCAACCCAGGTCGAACTGAAAACATACGAAATATATTTTTAAATTCAGTTAAATCATAATGCTTGTATTAATTACAATAAATCAAATACAATACAGCCCAATACTGAAACGAGGCGGTTCGCTTACGACTGACATTGAAATTTTAATGGATTTGAAGTTTACGCGGCCTAAGACGCTGTTACGTATTTATTTAAATATTATCAGTATTCTGCCGATAGGGGTAAATCTATTTTTATTATAAAAACATTATACTATAACATAATTAAAAAAAACTATGTTGAATGTATGTTCACTTTCCGTGTTTATCAAACTGTGACGTAATAAATTGTTATGTGTAGGCCATAATCTTGTCCGCGTAGTTGGCAATTTGTGTACACCTGTGTCAATTTTGTACCTTTTTATTTGCAACTTGTGTTGACCATGACAATGAATGTTTGCATGCGTTAGACGACTTTGTTATTTAAATTAACAATATAAAACCTTACAATAAAATAGTTAAACGATTGATGATTGCATCAAAATTTGTTATTTGTAAAAGTTAACATTAAGTTTGCAATTAAATGCAAAAAAAGTTACCAAACAATAAAACTAATTAATTTGCCTTAGAAGGGCAATTAATTTAGTCAGAATTATTTTAGTTAACTTATTCGATAATTTAAATGTCTTAACAAATATCAATAAAGCTATCATTATTAATTAATCAATCCTCACCTCCGCAGCAATACTATTGTAGTCTTCATATACGATCTTTTCACAGGGCATTGTCTCTTTCTCATCAAACATCCGCAAAGAGCAACTACTATTATCGACCTTCAGATTCCACAAGCCTTCGACCTCAGTGACATTGTCCGCTCTGTGCGGTGTTAATCTATGACACGCTTCCGATCTATTCGACAAGATCGATGACACCCAACTCGCGTTGAATCTGATGTCGGTTTTCTCACATTCCGGTACGTGACATCTGTAATTATGGATTTTATTGCAAGCCACATTTTTATAACATACCAAGCATAATATAGAGTAACTTAACGTAAACTATGTGGCTACTTGGAGAGTAAGTTAAAGGTGACTAAGTATTAACCACGGTAGCACATTGCGAGTTGACTTCACACATGTCTTTGAATTTCTTCGCTGATATATGCTGGTTTAAATCAATGTTTTCCTTCACCATAAAAAACTTTTTAAATTTAAAATCAGATTGTTACATTGCATTCGAACCCAGGACCTATAGATTACGAGTCAAATGCTTAAATCTCTGATCCACCGACGCTTATAACGCTTCATAATATAGTCGAGAAAATATTGTGCGATGTAATTTAGAAATATTTGACTAATACGCTACTCTCATCATGGGATAAGGAATATTATTGAAGGTGAGGTTCTTGAAATAACGACAAATACACTTGTAAAGATTGTGCTCTACCAACCGTGTTATTCTAACATGAACAGACTCTGACATTAATAATTTATTATTCCTACATTTATATCATATAAAATAATGAATACCGAATTGCATTCATTTACAATCTTACTTCTTAATATATTACTAATATTATAAATGCGAAAGTTTAGATGGATGGAGTTTGTTAGAGTTTGTACACTAAACTGCTCAACCGATCTCAATGAAATTTGGCATAGATATAGACCACAGTCTTAAAGAACACGGGCTACTTACTTCACGTTCGTAATCTAATATTAAAATATATATTATTAAGTTTTAAAAAGTCTTCTAAAAATATACTGTAGACTTTTAGATGTATGATAAATTCAAAACTGAAGAAAATAGAATGTAACTTATGTAATATTGTTTATTATGTACACAATAAGTACTAGGGTATAATTTTGTAACACAGACATCAATTACTGTCCCATAACTTTATGTCGTCATTTGAAATGCAGTTTATCTGTTCATTGCTCTAACTTAGAAATAAATACGGAATTCAATAATGCGGAGTAACTTATTGGTAACATAAGTCTTATTAATATCTTTCAGGATTTATCGATACTTTAAATAGACATTTAATTAACCCTCAAATACGTCAGAGTGCCAAGTCTTAACTTCGCAATACAATTAAACTTCACTTAGCTAACACTTGTATTGAAACTCTTTAATCTTTTCTAGTTTTCAAAGAAAACAATAGCGATCACAATATGACTATTCAGTAGTTTTACGACAATGAAAACCCTTCGTTACTGTGAATAAATCGGCGATAGTTTTTTTAACACTTTCAGCGCCGCTATGATTTTTATGGTTTGACAAGTATGCACTGAATGGGTTACCATTCACTTGTTTCATAGTAACTCTAACAGAACTTAATAAAAAGTGCAAGCCGACCTGTAAGCGACCTCAGCGGCAGTGAAGACGTAGTTAAAGTTACACATGTTGAGGAAGGAATCACGGAAGGCGAGGAGTAGCAGCAGCAGCAGCTGGTACTTGCCGAAGCTGCCCAGCTCGCTCAGGATGCCCTCCAGGTTGAACTGCCCCTCCCCGGTGCTGCCCTCCTCCGACATCTGGACAAGACACAGAATAATGCAGCTTACAAACAAGTAGCTGAAACTTTTATTCAGATTATTGTCTAATGAGTAATTAAGAGATAGAAGACCTTGTTGTTTTTTTTTGAATTCTGCGGGGACGAAGTCGCGAGCAAAAACTAGTCCATACTAATACTATAAAGAGGAAAGATTTGTATTTTTGTATGTATTCATTTAACGTAAAAACTGAGTCATCGTCATCATCATCCACTTACCCTTATCCCTTACGGAGGTTCGGCACAGTATGTGCTACTCTTCCAAACATCTCTATCAGCCGTCATATCTGAATACACTCCTTTCTTAATGTAAAAACTGAGTCGATTTTGAAAATTACTTCACCATTAGACGCAGACTAAGTCGCAAGCAACAGGTAGTCTTCAAATAAGGTCTGTTACCGTAATAAAGATGTTACTCACCTTGCCCTTCGATTCCTTTTTCAACATTTCAGCACACGTTCAGCTGCTTCGACTCCCGCAGGGCATGGCTCCCCGAACTGCAAAGATACACACTGCACTCAAGATTGTCTCAGTATACTAATAAATTTTATTAAGCGTATCCCAATAATTATAATTTATCTAAAACAAATGGAACCCACTTCCTAAGCACGAGTTTGATATCTTATTTGTGTAATCCTTTGTATTTGACCTAATAATAAATGTGTTTAATACCGGAATTAGACTATTCGATGTTATTTATTGTTGATTACTTGTAGTAATAAATACAATTAATATTACACCTTTATTTATAAACCTTTTTCAAGGCAGGTCTCAGTTAATATCTGCAGTAGAGGACAGTTTAAAAAAATAATTGAGCAGATTCTAGAATTACTTTCTCTATTCCATGTCGATAAGAAAGGTTACGTATTTTTTCCCAATGTGACCTTATAATATAAAAACTCGTAGAAATATTTATAGGATTTGTAAAAATAATATTTATTCAGGTGTCAGAGAACTTTCAACCTTATGACCGGTCAAAAAGCAAGGTTTTAACACTCGCATTTCGGTTCGTTTAACAGCATAATTTAACTAAATGTCCATTTATTTTCGTTACCGATTAGTGAACAAACATATAATATGACTAAATTATATTCGTTTGATTTTTACAAAATTGTGTTATAAAATTATGTGAATATTTTAAAATGCCACATAAAATGTTTTATTAAAATCATTTTGATTATTTAATTTGCTTTTAAATAATAAAGATTAGAATATAAATTAATTTATATTTATATTTATATTATATAAATATTTATAATATAAGTGATTATAAATGCCAAAGTTACGATGGATGGATGTTTGTTAGTTTGTAGCCTAAACGGCTGAACGGATCTCCATGAAATTTGGCACAGGTTTAGACCATAATCTGGAAGAACACATAGGCTACTTTGTATCCTGGGAATAGTTACGGTTCCCGTGGGATTTATTAATTTAGTTTTTTAATGTTTACTCGATCATTCTGCAACGGTGCAACATATCTTATTGAAATTTGGCACAGATATAAAACAAAGTCTGGAGTACACATGGGATTCGGAGTCATCCCCGAGAAATGTCTGGTTCGAACGAAGTCGCGGGCAACAGCCACTGAATTTACATTTTTAATTAGCTTTCGCCCGCGACTCCGTCTGCGCGGAATTTAAAAAACAAATGCAAGTAGCCTATGTTTTCTTCCAGACTATCTTCTATATCTATGCCAAATTTCATCAAAATCCGTTCAGCCGTTTAGGCTTCAAACTCTAACAAACATCCATCCATCCATCTAAACTTTCGCATTTATAATATTAGTAAGTATGATATACGAGTGCGTACTTTTAGTCACACTTGCAATGGATTTAATCGCGAACACACGACGCAAAAATTGTGTCAGGTAATGAAAAAAATAAATGTGTTTTTGTTTTGGTATACACAGTGTAAACTCGCAGCTATTGGCGTCGAATCAAAATATTTTATGCGCGTCCCTAATCAGTTCGTACTAACAAAGAGTATAGTATTTTAAGAACTGAATCAACACGTGTATTCCGATGTAATGTGAACGTTGCCTTTGTCTCGTGTTTGTTTATAAATGCAGAGAGCGCCGCCAAAATGCATTGATACGGTACACTCAACGGCATTAGTTTACGTTCTTATAAATATAAACTATACTCCGTGCCAAAAAAACGAAAGTTTGTAAACACTATAACTACGACTAGATATAAACTACAATATTATTTACTATTAATTATAAAATATTTCATTTTAATTCTGTGAAACATTACATTTAACAGTGGTAATGCCCGCTTTAACATCTTAGCACTGTAGGGCCGGCACGCCCCCAGTAATACCACGACCACACAAAGACAGGCGTGAAATGGAAGCAATTCCGTGTTTCGTCTGATGAGTGTGGTGCCGGAGGCCTAATTTAAGTTCATTTCTCTTTACCACCCTTTTCTTATAAGGAGAGGTTGGAAAGAGGAAGGCCGCTGGCCGCTTGGCCGCTTGCTCGTTTGCCACCTTATGTTATAAAGAAAAATTAAAAAATGTATATATATAATTTCTGTAAAATATTCAATTTAAAAAATTGCTATTTAAATTCTATAGTAGCACTGAAATGTCTGCTTTTTTGTTTCCCCAAAAAAAAATTATAAGGAAAATATTATTCACCTGCAATATGTCTGAAGTCTAGATATTAAGTGAAACCGTGCAGTGACATTTTAGGTTTATATAACTCGATCACAATGCACCATAACGGTCACGTAAGCGCTTGCACAAGATGTATGGCTATTGTATGACCCATCAAACCACATACAAGCCCATACACATAACACTTTCATCCAAACTTCCAGAAGCATGAATGTTTTAATTTACACAAAAACTGCAATCTAATGGAACGCAGAATTGCTTCCAATTGATACATTACTATTCATAAAGCAGTTTTTTTTATATATTACATTTTTTCCATGCTCACAGTTTTGTAATTCGTTACTACAATATTTAGTAAATTATCTCAAAGCCCACTAAAAACGTTTTTTTTATAACTGACAGTTTTTTTTTTATATTAGGCAAACGAGCAAGCCGCTACCGGAATCCACCGGAATGGAAAGCGACCGCTGCCTAAACATCCGCAATTGCAGATGCGTTGCCTACCCTTAATTGGCGGAAAAGGAGACGTACATAAAGAGGACATTTCACCTTCCTATGCGTCTCCTCCACTGTCAAATTCACTTTTCTTTGCCATCCTTTCCTCCTAAGAAAAGGGTGTAAAGGGGACTAAAATTACCCTCCGGCACTACTCTCATCAGACGAAACGCCTGTCTTCTGTGTGGTCGTGGTATTACACCGGGCGAGTGCTCATTCGTGCGAAGATGTTAAATCTCTACCACTACACTAATTTATTAGGCCTTAAGTAATACTATGCATTTGCACAATAAACATAAGAAACTTGTAGAAAGTAATAAAGATATGTTTATATTTATATTGTCTTTACAAAGTAAGCAATAATAATGAGACATAACAATTTTAAAATCTTTATTGTGACGGCAATCATAAGAATGGATTCAGTCATAATTAAAGATATAATATTCAATTGTTTTTATAAAAGATGATTTTTTACAATAGTCGAATATTACTATGACTATAGACGTAATATAAAATTTAAAGAACACAATAGCAGGAATAAAGTATACGAAATAATTGTTCAATTGAAATTGATTATTTGGATGGATCTATGAAGAGAACGGGAATTTTAGAACAAAGGGCATTCTTACTTTGGGTATGTAAATTCTTTAATGATTCACGCATGTCAGAGAATGACAAACCCTGATATTTGTGGTTATTACAAATAACAGGTGTTCAAACAGATATAGTATACTTTCCTTGGTTTAAAATATAACTCAGTTTACACTGGGAATGTTATATTTTGAAGCAATTTTTAGAGTACAGTCGGGTCTAGTGATCTTGGAGTAATTGGCAGATGTTGCGATCCCATAGCGCCCCACACAATAGCCAGGCCAGGGAACGGAGGAGTTTAGTGAGGTATGCCCCTTATTATGGCGGGAGAGTCCCACATAACTCTCGTGTCTGCCCCGAGGCACGGAGTATGCGTAAAGCATTCCCCTTCGACAAAAAAAAGGTTGACAGATGTGATAAAAATGTACATTATCATTTTTAACACTAACAGCCGAACACTGAAACGAATCTTAAACAATTTGCTTCATAAGCGTCGATTACAATTTGTTAGACGTCAAAATTTTAATAGAATATGGAATTAAACTTGGCTTTATCTATGTTGTCACGCGCTCAAGTCTGAACTAATTTGTACAACTTAATTACTACAACTCTCAACAAAGAAAACTAAACCAATTAAAAGACCTTAAAACTTCAATAAAACATTAGTGAAATAGCACTTATTTTTTCTAAAATAACATCACTCGCGTTTTTAATTATTCGTTTTTCAAACACTACATATGCAAAACGGGGCAAACGCGTGGATGACGTCACACACACCTGATGCGTTGCCCGTACCCCGCCACCCTCGCCTCCTACTGGACCCCGCCGTGACACCATCGCCTCGCGACTGCCCGGGACGCCTAGATTATGGCGCGAAAATCTTACTACGCGCCTGTCTTCTATTGCTTTATTAAAAAAAAATTAAAATCTGATATATGCAATGTGTTACCTTTTTTGTTATAATTTTTATGGTGTTGCTCTTGTATGATGGTACTATTTATTAAAAATCGTTTTTAAATTCTGATTGTTTGGACCATGTTTTGCAGTCTTGCATTTCACTCTCACTCGCGCCTAAAAATCCTCCTTGTTTATTTTATACAATTTAGTCTATTGCTGTCTTGGCGGCCAGTACGTTATTAAATATTCATCCACAAGATTTTTGCAACAATGATAACTTTACAATTATGTTCCTTATAAAACTTGTTAGTATTTAATATAAACATGCTTTTACTTTTAAATGAACGCAAATATATTTACAGCTGTTTGCAGCGCCATCTATTTTAATTATTATCTAACCATACCCTCTTATAATAAGAGTTACATTATTGTTAGTAAAATCTACACCTATTTTTAAACTTCCAATTATTACTAATAATAACCTACTAGTTGTGATATTTAAGTTTTACCCCTTTGGGTTACAAGCGTGTATGTTTACATTTCCATTGACGTTTACCGTACAACGTTCATCGTTATTATGTTCGTGATCGTGCTAAAGATTTGCTATTTCGTGTTCCAATCAAACAAAGCCTGATGTAAATAAGCATTTACTAACAATATCAATTTCACGGAAGCGATCGCGTCGCGCGTCAACCTTGTAATGAAAGGGCTTGTAAACAAAACATATGAGAGGCATGCGTTCTGACAATTCCTCATATAAACATTTTATGAAGCAATAGTAGTAAGTAGTAGTACTTATCTTTACTTATATAAAGTGCAAAGATTTATATTTTTGTAAGTATGAAGTAACTCAAAAACTACTGGGCTGATTCCAAAATTCTTTCATCATTACAAAGCTACGTTATCAATTAGTAACATAGGCTACATTTTTTATTTATTTTTATTTTCAAGCGGGCGAAGTCGGGAGCAACAGCTTGTAATTTATACTTATTGGAAAAGTTTGGATGGGTTAACGGATATATGTGAAATTAGTTTTTAAGGTTAAAAATTAACCTCCTCATTCGGAGTCGTTTAGTAGTTATCAAAGGAGTCTTAAATCTGCACTAAGGTAATTGTAAGTAACGTATTTAAATTAATGTTTCAATTAATAGTTTCTCATCTATAATTATACTTAAGATTATTATCTTTTTCCCGCATGGTTAAAAAGAGTAGCCAAATTTGAAAATTTCTTGCGAAAATGTTCCCAAGATACCTAACAAACATCCTAGATGGATCCATCTAAACTTTCTCATTTACATTATAAGTACGAATTTCTATAATAACAAAGTTCAATAGAAACAAAAGAAAATGTCGAAGTTCATGCATTCGCTATGCATTTGTTTGTGAATCACAAAATTCACTTATTCACTTACAGGTAAAAACATTACTAAGTAATAACGCTTACGGAGAAATATTGTAAGGAAAGTAAGAGTCACTGGCCGCAAAATTACTCACCAATTAAACAAAATGCAACATGCGACTATTTACCGACATTTTGTGTCCAAACCAATTGAATATAGTTATTAATTGCTATTATAAATGTTATCCAATTCACAAAAAGGGTAAGTAAGGTTTTTCCCGTAAGTTCTCCAAAGTCTAGGAACTAAATGACTAAATGACTGAGTCTATTTTGACGAGTGATTTGTCATTCGAATCGTCATCTTCCCCGAAATATCACAGACAATACTACAGGACAAAACACATATAGTAGAAGTGAGAAATATAAACGGAGTTAAAATCTCACTCGCTTTTACTATTTGCTAGATATTTTCAGTATGTTCATGTAAGATTTTTATTGTCGTTGTTAAGAATAATGTAGTACATATATAAATGTATAAAACTATTCAATAGCTTAATAAATAAGCCATAAATAAAGACAATAGATCACTTTAAATGCAATAAAAAAAAATATTTCTACATTTTACTTGAATTCATATAGTAATACAACTCTGTAATAATTTTTAAATTGTTGGAATTACTAGCAATTTATTTACTACAATACAAAGCAAAGGCCAATTCATCTAACATTATTTTTTTTTAATAAATACAATGTTATCCAAACTTAACTGCAGCTCGGAATGTCGCAATAGTCTGCATATAGGTCGGGACATAAAGAGAAGCGGAGTAAGATTCCCGTACATGTGCACGTGTTCAGCTAACGAGCGACCATCAAGTGTTATTTTTTTAATACTTCTCATTTGACATAGTAAGTGGGCAATGATGCACGCGAGTGATGGACTGGCGGGTGAGAGTAGAGGTCAACAACCGCAATGCAGTCGGGGTTATCTAGCAATAAACACAGTTATCGGGGGAAATTGATTTTTGCCACTATCTAGACCTAATTGATTTTCGTGTGGATTTATTCTTTTCTTATACAAATAACGTTTTCCGTATACTATACTTTAAAAATCAAATTATGTTTTTTAATAACATCCGCAGAGTTGTTGTTATTGTTTTTTGTTTTATTTCCAGCCAGTGTGTTATTTAAAATGAAGTTCAGTGGCTGTACCGTCGAGTTGCTTTTGTCTGCGTTTATTTTTTAATTTTCGTATGTAATTCGAAACACAATGAGCGGTTTCAGCGCCGGAAGTCAGCTACTTTTTTTTCTATAACAATAGAAAGCGCTGACATTTAGCGCTAACTCTGCTGAAAATGTTAGGTAAAATTATTGATTCGAAATATCCTTGCTTTTAACGGCTTACGCGCTTCCACTAAATTCGAAATGATCGAAATTTAACAGTGGTAGAGCCCGCTTTAACATCTTCGCACGAATGGGTCGGTTCGCCCGGTGAAATACCACGACCACACAGAAAACAGATGTGAAGTGGAAGCAATTCCGCGTTTCGTTTGATGTGGTGCCGGAGGCCTAATTTTAGTCCCTTTCCCGTTCCACCCTTTTCTTAAGAGGAAAGGATGGAAAGGAAAAGTGGTTTTGACGGTGGAGGAGACGCAAAGGAAGGGGAAATGTCTTCTTAATGTGCGTCTCCTACGTCAATTAAGGGTAGGCAACGCATCTGCAATTGCGGATGTTTAGGCAGCGGTCGCTTCCCATTTCGGTGGATTCAGGTGGCCACTTGCTCGTTTGCCACCTTATATTATAAAAAATGTATTTTTTAACTTTCTTTTGTTATTATGTTCTGCTTCTTTTTACGTTTCAGTATTCTTTGTGTCCGATTGATTAAGATACGCAACATTTTTGTGATAATAACTGCTTTCAACAAAGTAATAGCTATTAGATTACATTAACTGTAAACATTGAATTAATAGCCATGTTTTAAAATTCCATAGAAAAAAGTATTAACATTTCCTTCAATTTGTAAAGAAAAGAAACATGTAAGTATAAAAAAATCAAACATTTTATCAAATCTTAGTTTTAAGTACCCGGAAATGACGCATTCGTAAATTATACTTTAGATCGTGTACTTAATGCTTATTACTTACATTACTTATTAAACTATGTAATGCTAGCTTGAGCCCGCGATTCCGTCCGCGTGGAATCATATATAAGCAACCTTACGTGTCCATACTATTCTCTACATCAATACATTTCATAGTAATCCGTTCATTAGTTATTACTAGACCCTAACAAACATCCATCCATACCACCATCTTTTAGCTATAATATTAGTAAGATAAACGTAATTGTTTAGATGGATGGATGATTGTTGTTGTGCAGATAAATATAAAACGCTTTTTGTGTATATTTAGTAAAGAAATAGATTACTGTAAGGAATACTTGACAGGCTAAGCTATTTTTTTTAAAACACGCAAGTCTCGAGTGATGTCACATAGCCGTTGATATGCCAGGCGTAGTAGCTACCTTTTTCGAAGTACATTTTAAAACTAATCTCTAAAGGAGGAAGGGGGACAACTGTCTTCCTGCGTCTACTGTTAAAAATTATAATTATCTATACTATTATAATAAAGCGTAAACACACACTTCTTTGTTCCCTAAGATCTCAGCAATTACAGCATATTTTTGAATAATCCTTTTTTTAATGAAAAGCCCTACACTTACGTCACGCTTTAGGCTATATATTTTCACGCCATTAAACATAGGGGGTAAATATTTTTGATAAGAATCCTAATGTGGAAAAGAGACCATAAGTTGCTGCCAACATCTAGGAAGCAAGGTTGCCATGGTTTGTCATGTCATGTCATTTTGACATTAGCAATTGATAATTTGACACACATAAACAATAAATTTATAATTTCATGCGGATGAAGCCGCACGGGAATAGCTGGTTTACAAGTATTTTTTTTTATTAATCTTGTGCATTTAAGTATCCGAAACAAATTAACATACTAGAATCAGTAAATCTTAGCTTGATTTTTTTATGCTTGATTTAAACATGTTTCCTTTATATTGTTAATTAAAAATACTAAACACAACAAACAGTACTTACGAAAACACTCTCAGCTGTAATCGACCATTGTAACTCATATGTTCAGTCAACAGATAAACTGTACAATAAATGTTCAGTCGGCAGTAGCACTGTTCAGTAAACAGACGGAAGCCGCTCGCACTGCGCCCGCGCACACACTGCGCTGCTCGCGGCCGCACGCCGCTACTGCGTCCACACTATTCAATATTACAGGAATACTTTTCGCCATTATTAACAACGGATAAATGAGATTTCTCTATTAACATGTCAATTAGTTCCATTAAGAAATAACAAGGGTTAAAAGATGTTTAAAACGTCATAAGAATCTTTAATAAAAAGTTAGTTTGCTTCTCTCTAGAAGCATTGAAATAAGTTATTGAAGGTACGCTTCCTAATTTTTTTTCCTGATAACCTAAACGCAATTTCATCGAGATCGGTTCAGCAGCTTAGGCTGTCCATTCATCTAAACTCATTTATAATGTTAGTAAACAGTTTTACCTTTTACTATAACCTTGACACATTTTGATCACGTAATTGCTTTTTCCGTGTCAAAACGTAACCATATAAAATGCATACTAGTCCTTGAAAATCAAGATAGTTGGTGACAGTAGCTGAGTATGTAGCGACGCGTGTACGTTCGCAGCGTCGCCGTACGCCGTATTGTTATGAAAATAACCGTATAATGTCCGCCGGAGCTCCTCCGCGGGAAACAATGTAGCTTCTATAAATTATACATATCGCATTTCTTACGATTACCACTTTGTCTATACTGTAAACAAATACACTTTCCTCCATCATGTTTATTGCAGTTCAAAAGATCCAATAATGCTAATTAATTTTATCAACATTACTCATTCGTATAACAATCGATAAGGACAGAAATAAGAAAAAAAAGTTGTACAATTTCGCATTTAAAATTCAATCTAAAACACAACATTTTTTATAAATTACAGTGTTTAAAATAAAATTTTGTATTTTACGATCAATTTTCAATCAGGTAAAATCTTTATCTCTTTCTAGGATTTTCGCTCATTATCATTACAGTTGCAATACCTAAATTCTAAAGACACTTAACGGACATCACAAGAACGGGGTATTTAAAAAATTACCTAATAGTGGAAATCTACGATTTATATGTAATTTTTGCTTATTTAATTTTAAATCCTTCATATAAATCGAGAAAATATGTCTGAGTGACGTAAGTAAAAGTCAAATTTAATATTAGCAAAAGAGACAGAGCTTGAATTTGCTAATATTTTTTTAAGGCGCTTTTATTACAACAGATATATCGTCAAATTATAGAATTTGGGATCCAGATTTCCTATAGATAAATGACATATAAAATTAATGATCTTACTTTAAAATGTTTAATGTATAAATCGTAACTTTGTATACATTGTAAGTAATGTCACCTATTTTCAATTACCACGGAAGACCAGCACATGTGCTTTATGGTTTTTAAATAGGTTATAATATAACCCATAAATAATACAACTTTTGTAATCAATATCTTACATTAAAGTAATATTTAACAGCAAAAACAAAGTTAACAATTATCCTTAATTTATAACCTAATTATTTATAATTTAATAACAGCCGAGTTGTCACGTAGTTTGCTTCTTCCCGATCTGCTCCGCCTCCTCCATGGTGTCTGGCAACTTGGAGCCCAAAGTCTCCGGCGTGATGAGGACCAGGGTGCCTGACAGGAGTGCGAAGACAGCAAACAGTGCGAATGGTAGGTCTTCCCATACCGCAGCACCCTGGAAACAAGGTTTGGGATTCATACAAAAAGAAACAAACGTCATACTCTCTGTTCGACAATAATCCGACTTACAAAGGCAGGTGTGAGTGGTGCTATGATAGAGCCAATCCTGCCCATCATAGAAGAGAATGCGAAGAGGCTATGACGGTAACGAGTTGGGTAGAGCTCGGCGGTATACACGTAAACTGACGTCATCACCATCGCAATGCTATACTTTCCGATCAGGTACAGAGTGAGAGAGATAGCATAAAAATCTGAAATCAACAAAAGGTACACTGAGAATGTTTTTTTGTTTCGCGTCGTCTAAAAATGTTCAAACAATTGTAGCTTTTGAGATATATCACCGCCAGATTGCGCGACTGTACATTGTAAGCTATCAATCGACCAGTTTTATCGTGAAAGTAGCTCCAAAATTATTATCTACAAAACAGATAAAACATAATTCCAATTCCTTAAACGCTTTTAAATTTAGGTGATGTCAATTCAAAATTGCAAATCATTTAACAATTTTTGATAACCGAAAATATTCAACACTAACTGTTGCTCGCGATTTAGTTTAGATGGATGGATGTTTGTTAGAATTTGTTACCTAAACGACTGAATGGATCTCGATGAAATTTAACATGGAGGTAAAACATAGTCTGGAAGAACACATAGGCTAGTTACTTACTTACTGCTTTGGCGCAGCGACCCGTAGTGGGTCTTGGCCTCCGACACGAGAGTGCGCCATACATAGGCTAGTTAATTATGTTTTTTTTTAACTCTACGCGGACAGAGTCGCTAGCGAAAGCTAGTTATTTTTCTAAAATCGGCCCAGTGGTTTTTGACTTATTACAATCCAAAAATACAAATCTTTCCTCTTTATAATATCAGTAAAAGTATAGACGAGTCTTCGAGTAACATATGTATGGTTCTTAGTATCTATCCTTACCTTCAGGCATGAAGATGTATCCAATCTGACAGGCCGCACAGACCCAGAATGCACCAGCCAGAACCGGTTTCCTACCAATCTTGCCCATCAGCAGCACCGCGGTCCAGTAGCCGGGTATCTCCGCCGCCGACACCGCAATGTAATTCACGTATCGGTTACCAGACATGTTCACTGAATTTATTGACATCCCGTAGTAGATGAATGTGGTAGTTATCCACCAAACAGGTGAAACTAAACAACGAAGTAAGATTTTCTTATGCCGAAACACCAAGACTATAAGCCAAGGTTCTTTCCGTCTCTCGTCCTGTTCTGCCGCCTGGCGTACCTTCTCCTCTTCAGCAGATTGTTTTAACGCATGCAGTGATTTCTCTGATAATTCTTTTTTATTAACTCGAGCAACATTTTTGAGCACTTTCTCCGCGTCATCATATCTTCCTTTACTCATGTACCACCGGATGGATTCAGACATGACCCAGAAATAGGAAATGGTGACGAGTTGTGGAATGTAAAGAGCTAAGGTGAAATACTTCCAGTTGGGAACGCCCCAGGCTATCAGGCCCATGGTAATTTGGCCGATAGAGAAGAAAGTGTTCATAGTGGCCCCGGCAGCGACACGAAATTTAGGCCCCACCAGCTCCATCACTGTTAAAAGAAATTGCTTTGAGCAACATAACAGATACACCTTGACTAAATTAATCACTCAATTCTTTAGACTCGCTTTGATTCCTATGAGTTTATATGGAATGCACACTACTCGATTTTTAGTTGTGCAACTAAACAGAATTGGCAGCGAAACAATCGACAATCCAACAACAGTTGTGCGACAGTTTAGTCAAAGGTGTGCACGCAGACATACCCGTTATAGAGAAAAGATGCATAGTTTAGAGATAGCAGATAGTTCTTACAAACAAAGCTAAGAATGATGCACTAACTGTGTACACAGACCTTTTGAGATCTTAAGAGCCATAGTTAATTTCTTTCTCAAAGTAGATGTATGGAAAATAGAGCAAAAGCTATTTTGAAATAAAAAAAATTATGAATGTAATTGTTATCAGTGAATTAGTCATTTTTATGATATAAAACTTTGACAGTTAATTCATTTTGAGTGTAATCAATCCTGTTTTAAATATATCCAGATAAGACATTGTCACAAGCTTCAATCGTTCATCATTAACAAAATATAATCCTTGAACAAACAATAACATTATCTTACTTGACTCATGAACGGAATTTATTTTTACGTGTACTTTATAACACAACGCTATCTTAAGGTTTACGGAAGGGAAATGCCGGAATTTGATAGGAATGAAGGCTGTTTTACTGTAGCCGGATAGAGAAATAAGTATACCGTGTTTATATTTTTTTTTTATAACATAAGATGGCAAACGAGCAAGCGGCCACCTGAATCAGCCAAAATGGCGAAGCGACCGCTGCCCATAGACATCTGCAATTGCAGATGCGTCGCCTACCCTTATCCGACGGAGGAGGAGACGCACATAAGGAGGATATTTCCTCTTCCTATGCATCTCCTCCATCGTCAAATCCACTTCCCCTTCCCATCCTCTTATAAGGAAAGGGTGGGCACTACCACTGTTAAATGTATATCATACTAATAGCATAAATGCGAAAGTTTAGATGGACGAATGTTTGCTAGAGTTTTGAGACTAAACTACTGAACGGATCTGGATGAAATTTGGCATAGATGTAGAACATAGGCTGGAAGAATGCAGAGGTTACTTACTTTAGTGTTTTTTAACACTCCGCAGACGGAGTCGCGGTCAAAAGGTAGTATTTTTATAGATATATACTAGTATTATAAAGACCTTCAAAAGTCAGTTTAATGAACAAGGGCCCGTAGTGGGTCAGAAACTGTAAAGTCACGAAATACCGCGGTCACGATCTCCGCTTCTTTCTACAAATAACTATTGAGATAGCAATGAGAGCAAGATAAGGGATAATAATAAAAAAACCAGCGTGTATCACTAACGGACTTTTTTACTTAAAGAGACATACGTTGCGTTTTATTGATTTTGATTCTGCGTCTCGTTTCAAAATATTCACCGCCTGTTTTCCCGACTGTACATACACGGTACTACACCTGAGTTTAGTCGTTTAATTAGTTTCACATAATTATCCTTAACCGTTTTTAACACTGTTTTGGGGTGATGAATCTTCAACCACAAGGACCTATGAAGATTCTAGGCTTTAGAGTTTATTTGTATCTAATGTTTTAAAAATCGTCTGATAAGTTTTTACTCAAAGAGTTCATATTCTTGCTAATACACGTAAATATAATAAACCCCAGTTGTCTACAGTTTAATGAGGTAAGAAATGATCTCTTAAACATACTTACGCAAGATATAAGCGCAAGAGAATCCACCAGATCCGAAGGTTGCCTCCGCGACTTCAGAGATTAGGAAGCCAATGTATGTGCCAGCAAAGTAACGGACGGCGCCGAGCCAGGCGGTGTTGAAGGCGTTTATGGTGAGCGCAGCCCTCCTACCCCAACGGTCAGACACGTAGCCGGTTATCGGTAGCGCCAGCAATGTCCCAAACGTACGAACTGAACCGATCAGTGACCGTCTCCATTCGTCACAAGCTAGGCCGTACTGGAAATTGACGTCAGTTAAGTAATGATTACAATGATGTAAGATTTAGGCTTTAGAAAGAAAAAGTAAAAACAACAAGGATGGTAAAAGTATTCTGTAAAGTTTTGAGAAAATACAACCTTTTCGACTGAATAGTTAACCTTGGGAAAAATTGCAAAGAAAAAATAACTTAACTCAAAAAGTAAATACATATTTTGTGACAGATTAGCTATTGCTCGCCACTTAGTCCACGCAATATTAAGATAAAAGTAGCCTATAATATTCCCGTCTATGTCAGCTACCCCTTCAATGAAAGTTCGGTCGAAATCGACTCAGCCGTTTCAGAGATTACCCGGAATAAACGCGGCTGGCGGACAGACAGACAAAATGTTTATCCGAAATCTGGAATTTTTCTTCTGATATTACAAACAGACACTCCAATTTTATTACATGTATAGATAGAGGGTAGAGATATAGAAAGAAGATAGATAGATATATATAAATAGTCTACTAACATCATATACAACGGTATCTGTGTTTTGATAGACGAACTCTTCGCAAGCCACCACTCTATCCCGGTTGAAGAGTGTCGCAGGGCAGGTGTCGGAGCGGGCGAGGGCGGACACGTTGGCGAAGCGCTGGCAGTTGTCGAAGCCGCTTCCTGTTCCAGGAACTGCGTTCAAGATCCACGGTGGAGAGAACTCGATGGCATCTCCTTCTTCGCACTCTGGTATCAAACATCTGAAATTAAGTGTTATCTGAAATTTTCCGCACTAAATGTTAATTCGGTTTCTTAATCCTCATAGGAAATGCGTATGTAATGACATGAATATTTTTTTACTATAAACGAAACAGCATTCAAACGTCCAAATGCAGCGTATTGAATTTTCCTCTATATTTAAAGCCACTTCTTCATAAAGAAAGATAATTACGCATTAAAAATGTACAGGTTCAATAATTTCAATTATAATAGAAAATGTTGTTGCAATTTTCATCACATATAATTTCTTAATATACCTCGTACTTATCCTAGCTGTGGTGAACACGTATTCGCTGGCCGCCCACGCCGCGAAGATCACCATCAACACAGCGAGGAGCAGCGTTCTGAACTGATACCAGCCGAATTGACCTATCTCCTCCACAAGGATTGTATCCAGGTCGATTCTCTGCACTAACGTCTTCCCATCCTCTACCCTGCTGGACCTCGGACTGAGCTTCTGTTTAACCGTCATTCCGGCCTACTAGATCGAGCATTCGATTGCTACTAAAATATAATGCACTCTGATCTATTATGGCACAATAAATTTTGATAACAATCTTGTTTATTGATATGCCCAATGACAAATACATTGTCAATTTAATGAAGTCAACTAATAAAATCTAAATTCCATCAGAGGAAGTAGGAAAATGTTAAAGCTGTTGCAAATAAGCATGAATTGTTTGCAGACATCTTTATCTGTCGACGCTTTACTGATATACCATTTGCATTAACCTAGTCTGTTTTTCACATTTAGTCAAATAATTTTGTTCTGTACAGTACTCCTGTACAAAGTAAAATAATTTAAATGTGAAAGAAAAATGCAAATCGATCGATTTTCCTCGAAAAGTGCATTAATATGGTAAGAAATATAACTGTGTATATTATGTCTTGTAACAACAATAAATAAATAAACATTTTAGTTTTCATCGACATTTTTATATAACAGTAGACAAGACTGAAACATATGTAACGGTTTACTAATTTTTCAAGCTTAAATAACAGCAAATTTTTTTATTCATAAAACGTAATTTTCGTAAATTGATCATTTATTTTTATGACGTGCGTAAATGATACCTGTTATCAGTACCAACAATTTACCTAGGTCATCATGTAATCCGTCTAGTCTATAGTTGTAAAATTTTTTATAGGACTAGGTTATATCAAGATTTATGATTTTAATTATTGTGAAACCCCAAATTCACATAAAGAAAACGTAAAGTCTGTCTACTACAACACCTATCCTTATGCCTACGCCTACAGCTACGCCAGTACCTAAGACTACGGCTACAGTTACTGCTACGGCTACAGTTGCGTCTACAGCTATGTCACGTGACGTCACATCACGACACGCCACGAGGTACATTTAATCGAACAGCAGTCTCTTTTCTTCTTAACTTGTTATACGGTAACTAAAATTTACTTTTTTCTACCATTATGTCGCAAACGAGCATGCGGCCACCTGAATCTGCCAATGTCGATGTGACCGCTGCCAATAGACGTCTGCAACTGCAGATAAGTTGAATCGACAGAAGAGGAGACGCATATAAAGAGGATATTTTCTCTTCCGATCTGTCTCCTGTACTGTCAAGTCCACATTCCCTTCCCATCCTTTTTGTATAAAAAAGGGTGGAAAGGTAAAGGGACTAAAGTTGGGCCACCGGCACCACACTCATCAGACTGTACGTGGAATTGCTCCCACTTCACATCTGTTTCCTGTGCGGTCGTGCTATTACACTGGGTGAGTCGAACCATTCGTGCGACGTTAAAGCGAGCTCTACCACTGTTAAATGATTATTACGTTGTAAAATATCTCGTTATTTTTAGGAATATTAAAACACGAAATACGTTAAAATCTATATTTATTATTATCATTTAAAGATCTGTTTTAGTTTTCTTCGTACTGAGCTGCTCCGCCTCCTCCATAGTGTCGGGCATCTTGGTTCCGAGCGTCTCGGGCGTCGTGAAGATCAGACAGCCAGAGATCAGCGCGAACGAACCAAACAATACCGAAGGTAAGCTTTCCCATACTTCTAACGCCTGGAAATATATGCATTTGTAAATAAAATCAATTATTAATCAAAACGTGATTATTCGTTTTCAAGACCAAAATACTATAGTAAGTTTACTATTATTATTTACTTTAACTGGAACCCGTCACATTTGTTAAAGAAACTACTAAGTGTATATTTCTTGTTTTATGATACAGTTATGTTTGCTTTATTCATCACTATTTATTTATTTTATTTATTTATTACTAATCTATATCAACGGGACTTACAAGTGCTGGAGTAAGCGGCGCTGTAATGGATCCGAGGCGGCCCACCATTGAGGAGAAGGCGAGCAGGCTGTGCCGGTACTTGGTGGGGTAGATCTCCATCGTGTACACGTACACTGACGTCATCACCATCGCGATACTGAACTTGCCGATCAGGTAAAGCGCCATCGATAGACCCTCGTTATCTGTAATTTTTAGCGCCTTACAGAAGTAATTAGCATCTAGATGTCAGTTAAACGCATAAATTGCAAAAAACAGGCGACATATAAAAAATGTACATCGAAGTACGTACCACCAGGTATGAAGGCAAATCCGAACTGACAAGCAGCGCAAAGCCAATATCCTACAATAAGCACCGGTTTCCTCCCTATTCGGTCGAGTAGGAGGATAGCCGCCCAGTAGCCGGGGATCTCTACTGCCGTCACCGCCACGTAATTGAGGTATCGGTTGCCGGACAAGTTGACAGCATTTATGGACATGCCGTAATACACGAATGTGTTGGTCACCCACCACACCGGAGACACGAGACATCTTGATAGTATTACACGCGATCTTAAAACTAATATCGGCAACCAAGCTTCCTTAGGCCTTTCTATCAATTTCTCCGCTTCAGCTGTAGCTCTAAGACTTTCTAATGATTTCTCTGAAATTACTTTATTATTTCTTTTGGCTACTTTCTTTAGGATCGCTTCGGATTCGTCGTATCTTCCTTTCGACATCAGCCAACGGACGGATTCGGAAAGTATCCAGAAGTAGGACACGACGAGAAGTTGCGGTGCGTACAGCACCTGTGTGAGCGTTCTCCAGGGATGTACTCCCCAAGCTATGAACCCGAGTATCACTTGTCCAAGTGCAAACATCGTTGACATTGTGGCACCAGCTACCACTCTGTATTTAGGTCCCACGAGCTCAGTTACTGTGAAGAAAGTAAAAGGAACTCTTTCATTGCGAACAAGATGATAACTTTTACACTTATAAGCACAGAATCATCTTTTTATCACCAGTAATTGACAGAATAGTGTGTTGAATTATCTTACCTAAAATGTAACAAGAGGAATAAGCACCCGCACCGACAGTTGACTCAATAACTTCAAGGGCCAAGAACCATTCGTAAGAGTTAACAAAGGAGCGGACGAGTCCGATCCAGCCTGTGTTGAAGGCGTTGATGGTGAGCGCGACGCGGCGTCCCCAGCGGTCAGAGATGTAGCCAGTGATCGGCAGCACCAGCAACGTACCGATGGTCCGGATTGAACCAATTTGAGAACGCTTCCATTCGTCACACGCAAGGTCAAACTGGAAATTCAATATGGATTACTTAGTGAAGTAGTTTTCATATAAAATGTGATTTAAATGATGTTCATTAGAGAAATTATTCTTCTTATTGTAGTATCTACAGGTACCACGTATAAGATTATTCTGGCATAAAAATACCAGCAGCAAAGGATTTTAGATTTGGAAATTCTGCTATTTCACTTTACTGGTCTCAATCTACATGTTTAAAGCAACTTACGTCATAAACCACACTATCAGTGTTCTCGTACACATAAGCTTGGCACTGCTCAGTGCGAGTGGGATCGAACCAGGCGGCGGGGCAGACGCCACCCACATCTGCGATCTGGCTGCTGTTAGCGAAACGCGCGCAGTTGTCGAAACTAGAAGTACTTGTGCCGGGGATAGCGTTCAGGACCCAATCGGGAGCGTACACTGGGTTTGGACCGTCGCATTGTGGGATCAAACATCTGCGTAATAAAAAAATCATGTTTTCATAGGTTGAGGAAAAAAATATATTTCCATTTCTAAATTAAATTTTCATGCTTACTCGTAACCATATGCAAGAGCAGAAAAACAGTTAAAATGTTGCAGCAATTAAAGATCAAGGTTCAGGTACAATTTTATTTATTTTCTTTATTTTAATTTCTTCGCTTTTAACCATAGTTTTTTCTACAAAACATTTAAGAGTTTCCTAAATGTTTTAAGAACTTCTCTGATATATATAGTCTTGTTTTCACACGTAATGTATACGTCATTTGCATAGCTCTTAAATTAGTTTTACAATTGCGGTATGCAAGGTCAATTATCAATAAAATATTTACATCGATATCAATTGATAGGCTATCAAACGGATAAATTGGTATTAAACATTTGAAGCGTAGCAAACTATCAATAAAGAACAATGTCACGTGTGATAAGATAAGACGTTATTATATGTGCTTTAAGCCTTCCATAGTACTTCGCTTGTTTACAAAAATTTTGAGCAGTACAAAACAGATTACCTTAAAAACATAATAGTCATAGCGTTCTAAATAAAACACCTTATTCGTATATTCTGTTGTTTCTAAAATCATTTTATCTCATATTTGTCAAAATTCTTCTTTAAAACCAATTCATAACTTCATTCAAAGAAAGAAATCTGATACGAAGACCTCATAAATTATTATTACAGAAATATAGTTTAACAACGTAATTATACTTCGATTCTAAGTCTTACATATCAGCCCACCGCCACCCATGGCCCCACCGACCCTCGGGTCATACAGGCCGAATCGCGGGAGGGGCGCGCGGTTTGGCCGATTTCGGCTCCGCACGCACCTTCTTGACTCCCTACAAGTTATTTCGTCCGTTCCTTAGTGTTGAGTCACTCTCCCCCTAATGGGCATGACGAAACATGAACACCATCGCCGTCGGGCATCCACTCCAGCGCCTATTCTAGCCTGCATCTTCGATGATGCCATCGATACGCGAACACACGCAGCCTAGCATAGTTCGATTCTCAGTCTACCGATTCCCGCCAGAAATGGCGCGCGCATCCTGATTGACATTGACAGATGTCGTAGGGATGGGATGGGGATTATCTAGTGTTGCGCCGCTACTCCGGTACCGATTTCTCCTTAACAGAAGGCACCTAACTAGTAATTACTAAAATAAATACTTTACCTTGTAGGAATTCTCGAAGTCGTGAAAATATATTCCCCAGAAGCGAACGCTGAGAATATGACAGGAAATGCTGCCAGGAGGAGGTTGAAGATCTGATACTTTCCGAACTGGCCCACCTCCTCCACCAGGATCTTATCCAAATCGACCCCCTGCCTCTCGCCTCCCGATTCCACCTTCTCGTTTGACATTTTGTTAACAAACGTTTGCACGACGAGGCAATATTAAAAATGCCAGCAACGAATTACTTCGAATAAGTTATCTAAGTGATAAATGATTTTACAATGCTAATTAATATTAAACGAATTTCGATAACATAAAATTTGTATTTATCCTAATCGCAGATAAACTTGCGTTTATTAATTCGACCAACAATATCTTATCCGAATTTTGATCTTCCGACTTACTAACTTCTTATTTATTATGTGACGATTATTTACACAGGTTTTCAAAAAATCCATATCTATACTAATATAATAAAGCGTAAACACACACTACTCCGTGGCTGTTAGCAATCACAGCATGTTTTAGAATAATTCTTTCTTTAATAACAAAACCCTACACCTACGACACGCTTTAGGCTTATATGTCACGCTATTAAATTTAGGGAACAATTAAATTGGATAAAACCTTTATGTGGGGGGACCATAAACTATAAGTTGCCAACATTAAGAAAGGAAGGTCTTTATAGATCAATTTTGACATTTGCGATTGATAATTTGACAAATGTAAACATTAAAATAAAGTTTTCATAATTTCATGCGGGTAAAGCCGCACGAACAGCTTGTACATTTTAACTCACGACAATGGTATTACAATAGGAAATAAAATTAACAGATTAACAAAATATTTTTAATTGCAACAAAATCGGTGTGGTGAAAATAACGTTATACATTTAAAGGTCATTATAATGCAAATTGATTAATTTAGTCTCAAGGATTTAGGTTTTTATCATGTCAAGGGCATGTCCCACCACCGGCTAAGGCTCAGATATCTTAAAAGTGACGTCACTGTCAGATAGAGTACCAAAATTCGATACTTCCATCAAAGATTTTATACGTTGGATTGTTATCTGACAATTTGCAAGAATTGTGGGACAGTCCCATAATTAATTCAATATCTAATTGACATCACTGTTTTTGAGAAGCCAGAGTTCTATTAACTATATTGTTTTCAGTTAAATACATTAAAATGATACAAATCCACTTAATTTGATAAAAAATATACAAGCCATTAATCTATTCTAGATACGATAGGCGATAGGATTATGGTAAGAATAATACTAATACTACTGATATTCCTAATACTAAATACTAAGCTATAATAACATCCAAAATATTGTAAGATACGTATTATATTAATTACAAAGGCAAAGATAACAATAAGTGGTTTCATTCTTACATCATAACCTATTACAAATTACGTCTCTTCACATTTGGACGCTCACCCGTTTGGGTAGCGAATTAATTTCTCTGACTACAATACTAGCTGCTGCTAGCGACTTCGCAGGCGTGATGTGAAGAAATAATTAAAAACGTGGCTTACATTGGCTTACATTACTCACTGATATTTTAGAAATCGGCCCAGTACTTTTTCAGTTATTTATATACATACAAAAATACAAATCTTCCTCTTTAGTTATAATATTAGTATATATATCAACATTTCCATATATTTAATAATCATGTTCAGGTGGATCGCGTGGTTTGATGATTCCGAGCCTTGTGGCGACCGCCGCGACGTGCGCGCGGACCTCCTCCTGCACCAGGTTGAAAGACATCGCTAGAAGCGCTATCCCGAACAGCAGGTAGAGGGAGCAGAGAGCTATAGAATGTACTGCATCCGCTGACTCACCCTCACGACCCTGGAAAATACATAGAGATGAGAGTTTTCTCTATATTTTATGAGGTGGAAACGACTACTAAGTAATTCTTTTGGCCTTGGTGTCTGAGAAACTCACACTAATGTGTTACTAACTATCTTTAGAACTTACTTAGCCCCTCAGTGGGGACGTACACTGAGCTGGTGATAAAACGATCGAACACAATCACTTTCGGGCTTACTCGTCTTTTATTAATCGATTTTGTAAGAATTGCAGCTGTTGTCAACCCGTAAGGGTCTCTCACCTGAGCTGGTACGAAATCCCCGAAGCCTATAGTGGTGAGGGTGATGAAGCAGAAGTAAGCAGCATCAAGGTACGCCCAGCCCTCCCATCTCTTGAAGAGGAATGTACCCGCTACAATGTAGGACGCCACAAGCAGTACGCACAGCCAGATTGGTACCGGCTTTATCTACAGAAAGAAGTAGAGAATCTGGTATCTATTCCCCAACTATTGTGCGATTGTCGATTGTTTCGCAGCCAATTCAACTGTTTAGTTGCACAAGTAAATATCGAGTAGTTTAGCTCTTCCATATAAGCTCATAGGAACCAAAGCGCGACTAAACAGTTGTGCGATAGTTTAGTCAAAGGACTGCGCCCGCTCAAATAAGGTCCCATCTAAACAATGTATAATGTGGTTTGAACCCCAGACTATCCGCAAGCTGCCACCGCGTCACACTGCAACGGTTTTAAATAAATATTGAGAGATTTTACGAGATGTTATGTTCTCCGGTTACATTGCGAGTGACAAACTGCATACTCCCATGTCTGTGAGAAAGTTCACACTGTACCTAGAATTAGATCAATAAATATTTTCACAACCAACACCAATAAGTGAACATAAATAAACGTCACACGCTGTATGTGAAAGAACTTACTTCTTCTCTAGGTATTGTAGACACAGGACCGGCGTATAAGTCAGATTGTCGGGAACCCCACGCTGGAAAGATAGAATAAAATTTAAAACCTGTAGGTATATCAGAGATGAACAAACGAAGTGAGGTCTCATGCCAGGTGGTATGCAGCTGCGTTACGGATCCGCTCCTATGGCATCGCTTTTACTTATGACTAGCTGTTGCCCGCGACTTCGTCTACACAATATTAAGATAAAAAAAATAGCCTATTACATGCTCGTCGACATCAGTTACCCTTCAGTTAAGGCAGACAAAAGTTATAATGGGATTTTCATTATTAGCAACGCAAATGCAATATCTTTCCGAAATCTGGATTTTTTCTTTCGATATTACAAACAGACACTCCAATTTTATTATATGTATAGATTTAGATGATGTTATGATTTACCTGAAGGTGGTCTGCGCCGCACTGGAGGCAACTCGTCACTCCAATCATCTCTCTCCGGCGACGGGCTCTGATATATTATATCTTATTTTGAGTTAACAATATTTGTTTTACTAGTATTGTCTGTAACTTCAGTATCGAAATTATTGTAATACTTTCTTTTGATGTCAGTTCTTCGTGAACATTTTTTTTTATAACATAAGGTGGCAAACGAGCAAGCGGCCACCTGAATCCGCCAAAATAGCGACCGCTGTCCATAGACATCCGAAATTGCAGATGCGTTGCCTACCCAACTCCGACGGAGGAGGAGACGCACATAGAGAGGACCCCATAGAGAGACCCCTTCCTATGCATCTCCTCCACTGTCAAATCCACTTCCTCTTCCCATCCTCTCCTTATAAGAAAGGGGTGGTAAAAGGAAAGGGACTTAAATTAGGCCTCTGGCACCACACTCATCAGACGAAACACGGAATTGCTTCTATTTGACGCCTGTCTTCTGTGTGGTCGTGGTATTACACCGGGCGTGGCGGCCCTGCAGTGCTAAGATGTTAAAGCGGGCACTACCACTGTCGAACATGCATAATTTTTTTTTTCGTAAACAATAATTGAAATTTACGCATAATTTTGCACTAGTTCTGCCTAATCGATGTTATCGAACGATCTTTTAACCTTGTTACCTCAATTATGTTATAAATGTCGATAACGGTAACATTCCTTTTTGTAGTACGAATAGACAAGAATTATTAACAACTAGCTGTTGCTCGCGACTTCCCTCGCGTGAAGTTAAAAATATAGCCTTTGTTACTCACAGATAAATTAACTTTTTTATGGTGAAACAATTTTTCAAATCGGCCCAGTAGTTTTTACGTGAATCGAACATACAAAAATCCAAAAATCCAAATCTTTTCTCTTTATTATATTAGTTAGTGTAAGCTTGTAAACGTATGACTTTTTTAAATTCTCAATTTCACTTGTAAAAAATCTCATCTCCGAGTTTCATGGCTCTACTTCATGTTTTAATTCACTTTGCATGTTAAGACTAACATAGGCTGATGATGATAATTTCTTTAGTCTAATTATACTTACGTAACCATTCCGTGGTCTTCCACTGTCATCGACAGTGTACAACCTGCGCAAGCGTCGAGGCCCTGGCCGTCTTTCATCAAAAGTTCGATGATCTTCAACTACCCATCGGTCTTCCCCCCTCCACCGGTCTTCTCCCCTCCATCGGTCTTCTCTGTACCTGTCCCCTCCCCCTCGTCTATCGCAGTCGTAAACCGCACTCCTAGCGCGACGGTCGCGTCGTCTCTCGATGTCGTAATCTTCTACGTCACGTTCATAATACTCTGATCTACCACGATCCATCCTAAAACAAAATATTATTCAAATACTTGAGATATCATCATAAATAACAACTCCCTTACCTTATCCTACTCCCGTAGGATCGGAGCACTGGTTTTTCGTCCTTCAAATCACTCTGTCATCCGTCATCTCAATCATCACTTACTTCTTAATTATTTCACCTTTCACGCAATCCATCCATCTCTTTCTAAGTCTTCCTCTAGCGGTGTACCTCCACACTCATAACTAACGTCCTTCTTGTTACATGCGATTCATCCCTCCTCATAAGGTGCCCATACCATAGTAACCCTTTACTCGTTGATTTCTCAACCGTAAAGAAGTAATTATAAAATATTTCTCGAAACAATTTCAGTAGATATGCAACATTTTCTATATACTGGAAAGTACCTTCTATCATATCCAGTTCTCCTAACCCTTGGCCTTTCAACTTCGTAGTCATCGTCTTCAGGATCATAGCCGCGATCGCGATAACTATATTCATCTCTTTCTCTCCTTCTCTCTCGTTCTATTGCTTTCCTTTCTTTAAAGTTCTCATAATCTACATCATGAAGGTCGTGCATTTCATATACATCGATATCTTCAAGGTCATAATGTCTGTCATCAAAATCCCTCCTCAGTCCAAACTCGATTTTAGCTTTCGCAGGTCGCGGCAATGATTTGCTCCGCAGTTCTGTTTTAGAGTTTAATTTGAACTGGTGATCGTCTAAATCTTTTAACGCTGCTTGCAAATCTTGCATTTGCAATGATAGGGCTATTTTCGGGAACTCTTCTGTAAAAACAATTGAATATTCAATGAAGAATATGGGGGGAGTGGGCGGCATAGCACCCATTAAAATAAAAAATAAAAAACATGAAAAAGGTTTCAACCTTTTTGGTGTAGCCTACGAAAGAAATGTTTTAGATATACTAGACAAGTAACATAGAAAACAGTTAGTGACTAGTTATAAAAGACTTCACCTTCTTCTTCTTGATATGTATTTCGATTATACCGTTCATAGCGTGCCGGTGAACGTTCTCCTGCCTCCAAGTCACGACCTACAACGATTGTAATTACAAAATTTTTCTGATAAAAGTGGCTAAACCATACAAAACTAGAATAAATAATTTGTAAATATCTGTACCTTGTGTTCGTTGCGGCGGGGGTTGTGAGCGTGTCCGCGGAGGCAGGGTTGCAACCGGTCGCGCGCGCTTCGTGCGACCACTACTATAGCCACTATCCCGGTACCTGCTTGCATAATAAAATTAGTTTTCTAACACTCGTTTATCTTTATAAATTCGTTGAATAATCACCCTAACCTGAAGTCAGTGTCGGAGTGCGCGCGCTCCACGGGACGCCGGCGACGACTCGCTCGCATTGAGCGCCTGCATAATAAAAATAGCATTTATGCATTGCATCTGAGAAAAAATAACAAAGCTTATGAACGAATATTTTCATTTCTAACCTTGTTGAATGATGATGATGCCGATGACTTCGTTTCGGCGGCCTCGTGCAAACATAGCAGCAAACGCGCCAGTACAGAAACCTGCAATTATTTTTTTTCTGTAATTTTTTAACAAAAAAATGAGTACAATTGTGTACGTTGCTATTGATTTTTACAAGGCATGAATAGAAATGAAACAATAGACACATTTTAAGCAATATGACACTGTTAGTTTACCTGAACGATGAAGCCATGACATCTCCTATGTTGGAGAGGCAGAGCAGCATTAGTGGGATGCCCAGGATAGCGTAGAAGATGGTAACCACTTTGCCCGTCTGTGTCTTGGGCGCGATGTGGCCGTAACCTGCAGAAAAACTCGTTACTTTGAATAAGTAGAGGTTTTTATAATAACCGAAAATTCTTTCACAATAAACTTTTTAAGACATTTTTCAACATATCTGCTAACTTAAAATACATTTTTCCCCAATAACTACATAATTTAAAATTATATCGAACGTTAAATTTACTACAAGTTTCTTATTAAATTGTGAAAAATTATGATACAACTAATTGATTACAAAATAAAAATTGTTATACAGTCTGAACAAGATATACCATATAATGTTACAGTTAAGAAATCACTGTAACCAACCAGCTGTGACCAGTTTAAGTAGAGTTCTTACGTCACCATTATTCTTTAGGTCAAATTCCACGCCGACTTCATAAATGCGATGACTAGTCATTCCACTTTCGCTGTAAGAATCGCGATGTAATAAATTAACATTTATTTTGGTACGAAAAGACATAAGCATCGGTGGTTCAGTGGTAGAATGCTCGCCTGCCACGCGGGCGGCCCGGGTTCGATTCCCGGCCGATGCAATCACTTTTTGTTTATAATTTTTAATTATTGCAAGATTTCAATTTCATAAAATTAAAAACTTAGGTAATGAGAAGAAAGAAATAATTTAATTATGCACGTTATTTAATCAAAATTATACAACTGTTGAAATAAATATTTAGATGTACTCGTTATGTACTCTAGTCAAATTACCAAAGATGAATTTCGGCACAAGGGAAACCACCAAGGACGAAATCTTCCGCAAAACAATAGAAATAACTAATTGATGTACTTGAAATGACCTTGGGATATTTCGCAATGTTACTTTGATTGCTTCAATTATTGTTTAGCCATTCCTTTCCCACTAAAATGTTTGGTTTAAAAAAATAGTGTTTGTGTGTCATTAAAAGATATTAGTTATCTAAGGGTCTGTACTTAGTCTTAATTTGTGCTTGTATTTCGCTAAACTTAGTTGGCAGAACATAAAACACAAGCTGTTTATTAATAGTTCCCAAACATTAGTAATAATAAAATATAGCCTATGTTACTCACAGATAAATTACCTTTCTGGTGGTGAAAGAATTTTTAAAATCGGCCCGGTAGTTTTTAAGTTATTTCAATACATACAAAAATTAAGAAATACAAAGTTTTCCTCTTTATGATATTAGTATACTCGTAGATATGAAAGTAGTTTTAATTAATGTTAAATTGGTAATGTCCTAGAGAATCGAAAAATGTAAAGTAAAAAATAATACGAATATTTATAAATCGTAGTGCCCTAGATCTAGCCTAGATCTTCGGTTAGAGACGCCCTTGCGAGCGCAATGTACTAAAGCTTAGATACCCTTAAAATAGAACTAAGAACTATGATTGAAGTCAAATTTGACTTACGACAAGAATATGAAAAGTATGCAGGTTTATAAATGTTTTTAAACAAGTGTATTATTAGAAATGACAATTATTAGATGCACTAAGATATAAATAGTATAGAGTAACTTCTCGTAATAAATCCATATAAAAGACTTAATGCGACGACCCTTCATTACGATTGTTTAGTTTTTAAACAGGTTGCAGTTATATATTAACTGATGTTTGAGATATAAAAAAAAATTAAGCCATGTTTTTTAAAATATAACACGATTCAAAATTACAAACACTTCAAATAACGATTGTAAGATGAGATCACAATATTATCCTTTCATTTTATTTATAATACGTATACAAGTGTAGATAAAAGGTCAGAAGAGTCATGCAAATTAAATCAATTGTTTTATTAGACTATAATTATTATAATTAGAAGAATAGTGCTATTGGGTGGTGGTGAGTGGTGATGACAATGAGCGTACAATAACCGGGGGGTAGAGTCGGCGGCGCGTGCTTGTGTTGGCATGACTGGTAGTTGAACAGCGCCGCGTTGCGCGCACTCTCCCGGTGAACGTCGTACTAAACGTCAGTTTGTGTGTGAACTTGTGGTTCTTTTTTTCGAAAAATGTTTTATGGTTAGTATTTTTTAAGTGTTTACACTTGCGTGGGTATTTTTTTAAGTTTTAAATTTTAGTAATTATTTTACTTTTGGCGTTATTCAAATAAGATAATTTTATTTTTAGTGAAAATGTAAGAGAATAGTGATTGACATTCGATAGTGATTTAAATTGTCTTTTTGAATAATTTTCATTTATAAAAATAACAATTAAATAAATTATTTTGATATCTATTACTTACATACTATCATATTTCACTGGGTCCTTAATTTTATAGTTAACAAAAAGCTCCAAATAAACAACAAATTGCAACGACCATAAAAATGTTAACCGAATGAAACATTTATACACGAAATCTTAAAATCTCAAGCGTTTTTCCAATAAAACAGCAATTTTATGTCAAGTGTGTATTTTTAACTTGTACTATTAATAACTAAGCACTTAAATAAGTCGCGGGCTTTTCCAAAAAGGCTGCATTGCCTCACACCGCCTTGAAACTTACGAAACCTTCCAACTTACATTTGCAAATGTTAACATTTCATAGAACTTAACTTTACTAAAGTTATTTGCAACTATTTCATGTCTTTGATATTCATTGATTTTGTTTTTTATCTACAGAAAGTTATAAAACATTTCCGTTTCCCGTCTAATAATTATTTATTAAAATTATTAACAATACTATAATTAGTAGTTACTGTTGTTTGTTTTTGTTTGAAGATCAGTTTTCTCACAGATAAAAAATTAAAAATATCACACAAATTATTGCAATCTGTCGTTATAAAACAATTCTCTAAATAGGTTATTAATATGTATAAAAAATATAACCAATTCTATTGTACATCTGTGAAGTACGAGGAAGTATAATTATTTCTATAAATTTCTACAATTGGTCATATAAAAACATATTTAAGACAACCAACAGAAAGCGCCAATAGTCTAATGGTTTGGGGTACGGACTACCGATCTTGCGGTCGAGGGTTCGATTCCCGCCATTCGACTGTTGTAAACCATATCCTAGCACAAGTCTAGAGCTTAGTTGCAATGGTTAAAGGAAATATTAGTAAATTAACAATAATCTATTAATATTTAAAAAAAATAAAGTATGGCCTCAAATATCTGTAATTGTATGGATGTATGAAAGAGCTGTGCTAAGATCACGCCAAATAGAAATATGTAAGCTCTACCTACCTCTCTAGATTAAGAGCGTGAGTGTCGTCAGTAGAGGCCTAATTTAAATCCCTTTCTCTTTACCCTTTTCTTATAAGGAAAGGTTGGGAAGAGGAAGTGGATTTGACGGTGGAGGAGATGCATAGAAAGGGGAAATATCCTCTT